GTTAATATGTAATTATTAATGTGTCGAATTGGTTGATTCCAATTGTATAGATGTACTGGTTTGTGTTTGTACTGCTTTTTTATTCTTCTTTTTCCTCTTTGTGATGAATTTGAAGTTGTTTCTGAGTCAGAAAAATATAATTGATCGTGAAGTGGGTAATTTTTATCTACTGATTCTTTTAGTTTGTAAAGTTCGTCTAAACTGTTGGTTTCTGATTCTGAAAATGCGTTTCGATTCTTTGAAAATCTTTTTCGTGTTATTTGTCTTTGTTTAGTTATTATTTTTCTCTTTAGTGTTTGTCGTTTTGTGCGAATGTATCCAACTGTTTGTGTATGAGGTGTGATTACAAGGTCGTATTTTTTGTTATCTATTTCACAATTGTGTAAAATGATTGTTTGTTTATTTCCTAGGTTTTTAAATGACATAAGGTTTAGGATGACGGATGCAAAAGGTTGTTAAATGATTTCTATTTTCTTAAACTGTTAGTTCTTACGATTTTTTGGTTAGCTTAACCTGGGTCTTTTTGTTCAGGGTTGGAGAGAAAAGTATATCGATTCCGGAGAATGATTTTACTTTCTCGTGACTAGTATAAGCTAAGGTGTTAACTTACTTAATCTTACTTAAGGGAGTGATTGTGTTCAAGGGTTGGAGAATAGTAAATCGATCCACAAGGTTCAGGTATAATTAGAACGCGAGTAGTTCGTTAGGTACTATTTTAAACTTACTAAGTCTAAGATTTATCCTGGGTCTGGTAAGAGGGGGGGTCAAGTGAAGGATGAATAACCGAAGTTCTTCACTGCTTATCCTAATTTGAATGATTAGTTTTGTTTAAAAATTTCTATTAGTCTTGGGTTTTTAGAAAGGGTTGGATAGTGAATCGACGTTTGAGGTCGTTAGACACTAATTAAGTGGGTGGGGGAGAACAAAGTTGTTCTGTTTGATCCAAGGATAAGCCTTGATGATCAAATTTAAAATTTAATTAAGTAGAAAATGATTTAAGATCCAAGGATAAGCCTTGATGATCTGGTTTTAAAATTAAGTGACTTTAAGTTTTAATAATGTTTTAATTTGTGTAAAGTAAAGATTTAGTGTTTTTATGATATTAGTGGGTTTGATGATTGCTGTTATGTTTTAGGTGATGAAGCTGGAACAACAGGATGATTTATGATTACTAACCATTTATTGTCATGCTACTAATTTTTATTTTTATTTTCCAATAAATATTTTTCAAACATGTTTTGTATAATACTGCAGAATTTTAAGAAAACGATCTTAGATCTTTTTATCAATCGTTATTGTATAATATTAATTTTGTTTAGCGCCTGAAATGATTTTGAAGATTAGCTTCAAGGTTTTATGTTTGCAAATGGAAATCTAAATTCATTGCAAGTAGTATTCGAAATATAAAAGTTTGTTCTGGCTTTTGCCGAACTATCATATAACTATACGGCAAGTTTCTACTTTGTCGTATGTCGTCTTTGGTTCGATGTCTTCTTCCAATTCCGGGTAGTTCTATTATGGTTCGGAATATTGGCTCTGATCTATTGAGTCGGAGAGACATTTCAATTAAATTATTGTCGTATAACATTTTGTAAATGTTTTTGTCTAATTTCTAATCTATTCTTGGTTAATTCTAATCTAATAAGGTCTTGTTCGAGACTTATGGTCGCACCAGATGAGTTATGTCTGGGGCGTAACTCATAGAGTAATTTCGGATAGGGTACACCGTCTGCTCGTCACGCTATCTTATTTTCGGCCGGATAGATTCGTGCAACTTCTTAGTCTAATACCGATCCTAATCTTACTCTTATACTATCTAGTCTCAGGTTGTTTAACTAGTCTCTGCTAGGCTCAATAGATCTAGGGTATACTGGTTTATTGCGGCTGCTGAAGTGCTCGGGAGAGTCCAACTAATTTCTAAGTTAAATTCAAATCTCTCTGGTGCTGAAATTACAAGTAACTTCAGCACTTACAAATAAGTGGGTTGTTAGTTAGATGGATCATGATTGGTTAATATTAAATACTTTACATTGGTAAAACATTTAATTTATCCAATCATAAAATATAGTTTAGATCAGGTTCCAGTACCACTTATTCGCTTAATATTTTTTGCAAATTTCACTATGGAAAGTTTCTTAAATGAAGAAAAGTTGAGAAGAAACACTTTTATGATTTACGAACAACTCAGCGCATTTTATATGCCTGGGTTTTTTTACTGAAACCATTTGAGCTGCTTTTGTTATTGCTTTGGAAAGTTTCGATCGCTTTTGCCGCTTTCGCTTATACTCCTTGATCGGCAGTTTTTATTGCCTCTTTCGCTTTAATCGGGCAATACTCTGGGAAGATCGTTAGTAGGCACCTAAATGAGCCCATGCAGCATTAAACCATGAAAATGACTAATTTGTCTTTCAAAACGCTCTCGAAACCCTATCAAAGTTTCTTGAAATTAGAAACTGGATATGGCGCAGGGCTCTTTTTTTTCAATGCATGGAGAACATTTTAAGGTGAAATTTATTGAAATAATTCTTTTAATGAAATTTTTTATACTCCTTAGTTGCGAGACCAAAGTATACCTTTATATTCGGTATGTGTAGGACACACAAGCCCTAAAATTGTCAAAAAATCGCTTATCAAATGGTGGTAGGATCAACAAGCAAATACCTTGTAACGCAAATTTTAAGTTAGTTTGTCGTGGAAGATTCAACGGAAATTGTGACTGGATTTGAGAATTTGTTAGCGAATTCTGCAATTCTCGTAATTGGAATACTCAATTTGTTAGTGGATTCTGTAACTTGTATTTGAATTCGCGAATATACTAAATGAGCGATTTTTGCATGAACAATTAAGAGTTCGACAGAGGCAAGTCATTGAAGATGGAATGAGCAGTGCGGATTGTTTGGATTTCAAATGCAATTATTTGAAGAAAGCTTTCACAAACTATAGATGCACCCCTGTAATGACCAAAAAGTTTTAGGAAAATTTTTTTCAGCTTTTTGGAAAATCAATCGAAGTCTTTTTTTGGCATTTCTGATAAACGAGTTCATTTTTTGATCATTTTATAGTTGTTTTTAGCCCAATTCTTAATACGTATTTTTCCTGCCTTCAAACTTTTCCTGTGGTAAAGTTTCTCCTTAATAAAAGTCTATGAACGTAGTTCAGACACACTATAGGTCGCGATTATATTTTTTGTTTGTTTTTCAAGAAAAGTCTTGTAATTTGTTCAGGCGCAAGTTTATTTTTTTGCGGTTTGACTTTTGAATTCTTTTCAAGTTCAGTTCATTTCATTTGTTAAAAGGAATGCAAACTTCACTATCGAACAGCAGAAGTTTAAAGGCCACGAAAAATGTAATCGCTATCTAGTTTCGAAAGTGGAATTTAATTTTCAGATTTCCCAGCGAAATTAAAATTTAACTTTTTGAACGAGTTTTCTCATCTTGGGTTATTTCTATCAAAATTCAAAAAAAGCGCCAATCATAAATTGTTCTAGGAATTCAAAGAGCTTCAAAGGCGTCTATTTGTTTTTGTTTTCAAAAAACCATGTCGGTATTTTTTTTTTCGTTTCTCGCTTCCATTGGCTCTTTTCCAACTGTCTTTTGGCTATGATCTACGATGTCAATATCCCACGACATGTTTGTTGGAATAAAATTGAAATGAAATCATCACCAACTCGGAGATAAAATCATCAGCAATGAGAATAAAACCATCAACAATTGGGATAAATTCATCAGCAGTTTGGATAAAGTTTTCAGCACTTGGGATAAAATCTTCAGCAGTTAAAACAAGAACAGCCGGTTACTATGCAGACAGAATGTCCTTACCATAGTCTTTAAAAAACTACAAAATTTTTTTTCCAATTAGTAGTTTTTTTCAATAAGCGTTTGAAAAGTTTAGTTTTAAACTCCAAAATCTAATTTTACTTACTTGAAACTAAAGTTGTAGGCCTTAAATTAGACATAATTAAGCTGACGATAACCTGCTCGCTCGCTTAATTTGCTCGAAATAAGACGAAAAACCAAAAATTTCTAACCGGTTTTTCTTGACACTGGGAAATTTATATGTGGTTCGAATCGCGACTGAAAGTGATTTAAAATGATATATCACTTAACCCAGTCCAGTCCGCTGATTACTTGCGGTATCTGATTGCTCAATTGATCCGTTTGGAGCTGCGCAACTTTTTTTTCCATACGGCTCTGGATTCCACAATAACAAAAGTTGAATAAAAAAATTTCACAAGCCTTGTTGCGGAATCCACTACAAATTTTGAGCTTTGTTCCGGAATCCGGCTCTTTTCCAGTTCCCCCTTTTCGAAATACCGAGTTTTATGTTTGCTTTGCGTGTTGTTACGGCTAAATGCGTGATGTTATGTTACGCTGTAAAGTATGAAGAACAAATCTGTTCACAGTTGTCAATTTGTTCACCACGCCAAATTTCATTGCATTATGACAACCTTAAATAAGCTTTTCGAAAATTATTTCGAAAGGGGGGAATTGGAAAAGAGCCCGGAATCCGCGACAAACTGAGAGGTGCAGTTTGTCCTCAAAGTGTTTGAAGATATCGTGGCCCTGAGCTCAAATGCAAAAAGGTTTTCTTTCTTTTGTTAAAGTTGGAAAGTTTCATTTTTCTTAAGTTTTGGCGGTTTGCTGTCATTGTTTATGCATTTATCCATGATGCTCATAGCGTTAAGCATGTGACTTCTTCGAGCGCGACGAACTAATTTAAATTTCCATGTGTTCGGATAAACTTTCCAAAATGAATTGAGGCAAGTTCATTGGTCTAAATAATTCCCTTCTAAACTCAATTTTTATGTTTCAGTTCATTTTCTGTCAGCGCTGCTTTCAGTTTTTCTTGTATTGTTCCGTATTTTTTACCTTTTAGACCTACTTGATGTCGTTTTCTGATGTTGATTTCGCACCTGTGTTCGAAATCTCGCGTTCTTGTATGTTCATAACATTTGGATCTTACTTGGACCATAAAATCTCTCATACGTGTATGCTTTTTAGTGTTATGTATTCAACTAGACGGAAAAGTGCGCAGTTATGGTTGGGTCCAGCGGCATTCATAAACCACGACTGCGAGCCAACGTGCAAGTTTTCAGTCACAGACTCTGGACATATCACTATAGTGGCTTTGCGTCAGCTAAAACCAGGAGACGAGGTGACCTGTTTCTACGGCAAAGGATTCTTCGGCGAGAATAATGAAAACTGTGAATGCATAACATGTGAACAAATGAAATCTTTTCAGCAGGAAAAAGGTCAAGAAAATGTGAGCAGTAGTTCAGAGTCAGTGTCCTCAGATAGCTCTAGCAGGAAAGCATACCCAGTAAGGAAGAACAGAGGATCTAAAAGTGTGTATTATGGGTTCTTCGAATAACTCATTAGCGAGAAAATGGACTCTTTTTGAGGGGCTTTGGGCTCTTTTCGAAACATAAGTTAGAAATTTTCTCTCCATTCTTGGATATTTTTTACTGTTTGCTTGATGAAGGATTTAGCAGCTTTTGCTAATTAAAAATGTATTATACAACGTCTCTTCGCGCACTAGTTTGCTGAAATTTTGCAATGTTCAGAAATTAGGTAATCGAACTATAGGGTTTCAGGGGTCGTTAATTGGTGGCTGGGATTTTTAAAGCAGTGGCAGGACGAAATGTACCTACCGCGTGAGAAAAGAGCCCATAGTCCATGAGATCCATGCCGTTTTCACACATGCCAAAATGCTTCAGACTTATATAACTATGTCCTTAGAATGCAATATATCATTTCAATTGTAAATTATTAAATGCAGAAAACAAAATGGTTTGCGCAGTAATTTAGAAATGCTCTTTTTAAACGCTGAAACCAGATTGAGTAGGTTTTCTGACTCCTCGCACTTTAAATTGAAAATTTTTTTTCTTTAATAAACGATTAAATCAAGTCATACAGTGCTGGTTTAAATTATCCGGACAAAATGAATTGAACTTGAAATTTAAAACGCGTTTTCCCAAATTGGGTTGATTTTAGACGAAAAATAATGAAGATCTGGCTTAAAATTGGAACTCAAATAATTTGATTCAATGGTTTTGCAAAATTAGGGCCCAAAAATTTACCCCAAAAACTATCTTTTTTGACTTTTTTCAGTCAATCAAAAATTACTCCAAACCTAGTGCTTTATTTACTGACAAAACTGTATCAGTGCAAGCCTCTATTAAGGCCCAAAAAATTAAGAAGGATGTAATCTCCAAAAATGGGAGAAAAATGTTATTTGAAAAGTTGGTGTTTATATCATAAAATGATATTTTTTGGCTATTAAACCAAAGTAAATATGTTTATACAGCTGAGAAAATTATATCCTTCTTAATTTTTTTTGTTTGGGCTACATAAGAGGCTTGCACTGTTATAGTTTTGTCAGTAAATGAACTAACAGGTTTGGAGCAGTTTTTGATTGGCTAGAAAAAACCATCAATTTATAAATTCTGTTCAAATTTTGAGCAAGATTAATCTTCATTATTTTTCGTCTAAAATCAACTCAATTTGAAGAAAATGCGTTGTAATTTTCAAGTTTTATTCGTTTTGTCCGGATAATTTAAATCAGCTCAGTAGTTTAAAAGTAAGTGGATTTGTTTGGGCTCAGTGCGAGTTTTTTTTTCAAAAGCTCTAAACCAGGTGAAAATTAGTCTTCATGTTTATCCAATTGGTTTGATTGTGATTTTCATCTAGCTACTCTTGCTCTAATACTGGAAAACTGGAAGGCTATGATTGGTAAATATGACTGGCTTAATGATTCTGCTAAATATGGAAAATATAACTGGTTTCAGCTCAGTCTTTATGTTTATTTGAGTATATTTTCATGTCATTAATCATTTATTATTTTCCTAAATGTTTCAATAAAGAATTTTGATTTAAATTTCATAATGTTTTTTTTTTGCTTTCTTCTGAATTGTACATTTTTCTAAAATGTTGTCGATCAATAATGAGATAGCGCATGGGGAATCGTGCATGATAGAGGGGCTGATTTAGCAGCTAAACCGGTTGCTGTTCAAGTAGCCAAGGTTGTCACGGACACAGTCTTCAATGTAAAAAGAAAAAAAGCATTTTTTGATGTTTTTTTTCTAAATTTCGGCTGTTTTCTTGGGTTCTGAGAGGAGTCAAAATTCATCTTGCGAATTGGGTTCCATACAATTTAACAAACAATCACTATGAGCAAATTTGTATGAAACTCGATTATTATACTAGCCAATATCTTCAGTGTGCGTAGTGTATAGTACGACTATCCTCTTTTTAGCCTAAGTCGAAATTATTGGTGTCAGTTTTGGTGGCACCTTTACAGCTTTTTGATAACATGTGCTTTGACATTCGATTAGTAATAAGTTAACACAGCTGATGCATTTTTAATTCAACAAATGAACCGCAAAAAGCTTTGTGTTTCAAACAACATAACAATGATAAAAACTCAGTTTCAGTATTTGTCTAGCTCAATATATCTCGCAATCTTTTGAAATGCATAATTTATACATAATGTGGCTTAATGCTTTCAAATTTATTAAAGCAAAATTAGTGTGGATGGTTTCAGTGTGTTATATTCCAAACGATTACCTGAAAAATTGTGTTTACTTGTATCTGGTGAGAGTACAAGAGTTTTGATGATTTTAGGGGACTTGAGACTTAAAAACAAATACAAAATCAATTGTGTTGCTTTGCATGTGTTTCTGGAGTTCTTGTTTGGTAAAAACAGGTATTATGAAAAGTATGGGATTGGGTTTGCTTTTTTTTGAGACGCTTTAGAAAGTTTGACCCATTTTTGTAAAACATTAATTTTTTTCCTGAAAACTTTACCGATTTTCTACGAAAGGGGTATTCATAGCATGATCTCCTACACTCTTGTGTCCTTGCTTGCTTGCTCCCCAGATCTACCAAATCTTTTTTTGTCTTATCATTTCGTCTACAGCTTTCGAAAAATCTCTGGGGGAATATTTGACACTTTATTTTGATTTTTCTTTCATTTTCTCAAAAACTAATCTACTGAATCTAAAATTTGAAGTTTCATTGAATTTAAAGTTTAAAGTTTCATTGAATAGATCAGATCTGTTTTGATCTATTCTGTTTTTGTTCGAATATTTTTGACTTTTCTCGTTAACTAACCTTCCAAAACTGAGATTTTGGGTTAAATGGAGATAGCATGTAGTAAGAAGCTTATCTGCGTTAACAGCCACTCACCATTTTTTCTACTCAAAAAGTTATCGTTCTCGGAAAAGTCTCTTTTTTAAAATTGTGAAAATACCTTCCAATATCTGAGTTTTTGCGTTCGATCCTCAACGGTTTGCGAGAAACTAATTTGCATACCTAGCTACACCCAATTTTTTTGACGAAAAATATGGTTCTCAGAAATGTCTGTTTTTTTTACCGTTTTTTGAAAGTTTTTGACTTTTATCGACAACTACTCTGCCAAACCTGGGTTTTTGGGTTCAATCGAAAAACTCGTAGATGAATCTCTTCTGCATAAGTGGCCAGTCCCAAATTTTTTAACAAAAAGCTATGATTCTCGGAAATGTTAAGTTTCTGATTTGTTGACCGTTTTTTAGACTTTTCTCGATAACTATCCTGCCAAATCTGATATCATAGATTTAGTGGACACGACAGAATGTTGAAAGTTTACCTTAATAATTTGCTACGCCCAGTTTCCCTAAAAAAATTTATGACCTTCAAACAAGTGAAGGTTTCGAAACTTTGACTTTTTTGGAAACTTGACTTTACACGAAAACTATCGTGCCAATTCTCATGTTATGTTCAGTCGAGAAAGCCAGTTTTGGGATTTTTCTCTGCTTCAGTGGCCACAACTTGCTTTTTGCTGAAAAAAATTGAATTTTTAAAGTCGTTTGACCGTTTTTTAACTTTTGACTGTTTTCTAGAAACGTATTGATTTTTCTTAAAATTTACACAATCAAATCTGAGATGAAAAGTTCAATTGGAAGAACCGGTTGCGATAATTGTTCCTGCAGAAGCAGCAACTCCTTTATTTATTTAATTGGAGAAATGTTATTTTCCTGGGAAAATCGATTACCTCAAACATTTTTACTCTTTTCTCTTATTAGTAGAGAAACAACTATTAGTAGAGAAACAACTATTAGTAGAGAAACAAAGGTTTTGGGCAAAGTCCAATTTTTGAAAATACGCATTTCGTCCCGCATCAGTATTACAAGTTCAAAAATATCAAAAACTTATCTCCAGCTTTAGCTGGGCCCTAGATGTCCTTCGTCGAGACATACAAAAATTTTGGTTCACCTTATTTTTTTTAAACATTTTTCAATTTTGTTTTTCGTGGGTCACCTAATTTTTTAACATTTTTTAATGTTTTTTTTAATGATTGCGTTGTATCGCAAGTGGTGCAAAGTTCCGCGTTGCCTCTGTGCTCAGCTTCACCTCTGTGTAACAGTTCGCAATATTAGCTTTGTCAATGCGGCGGGGTTAAATGGCTGAAGTTTTGTTAAAACGAAAGTAAATTTCTAATGTGTTGATAGTCTAGAATGTTCTGAAAATTTTTGTTTCAAGTTAAATTAAGGGGTATTTTCATGACGAAGGGAACGAATGTTGGAAAGTTTTTAACCAATCTGAATCGTTAGACGTTCCTATTAGCTAAATAACTTTTACTCAGACATTTTCAACAGAAAACGAATTATAGCAGCTTAGCAAATTTTTGCTGTACGAATCGTGCACATATACAGTAAATTTGTACCTTTCTTTTGTTCAAAGTAGTGTTCGAAGAAAGAAGTGCGGTTTTTTAAAAGAATGTATGGAATATTTACGCGTGGGTGTTTTTTGTTCAGTCAATTTTTGACTGATTTTTGACGAAATTTTCTGGACCATCTGAAATGTATCGTTTTTCTGAGCTCTAGTTCGGTAAAATGTTTTATCTGTGATCATTTTTCGTAAAACTATGGGGGTTTGAAGTTTGCTAGTTTGTCAAATTTGAGAGAATTAACGCGCGATTTAATAGGGTTTTTGTAACACTCGTAAGCCGCCGATTGATGCGTTCCAAATTAGTAAGAGACAAGTCATGTGGTCGTTTTATTATGATACAAGGCGCTGACTACATCCCTTCGTAGTTTACATTTTAGGGGGTACACTGAATTTTTTCTTTTTTTTTACTTTGTCAGTTTTTAAAGCAAAGAACTTTTAAATTGGCCTTAAATTGCCTTCGGTTTATTCAGGGTTTCGCGCCCTTATATACGAGCACTGTGTTCTTTTGTCAAAATGAATTTCAGGTTTTTCCGAAACCTGACTTCAATTTCGAATTATTTGAAATTTTGTGTATCCTCTTTTTTCTATTCGGTCAATATTAATTTGAATGGCCTGAATTTATTCGCTTTCTTTGAGATTTTGTGAAAACTCAACTCTGATTGGCTGAAAATAATAAAAAATAATATTTCAACATTCGGTCTCTGCAGCATGCGGGACGCCCCCAAAAATTACAGAAGCTTGCTTGCTTGCTTATTCTAATTTGAATGGTAAAGAAACTAGTTTGAGCTATCAAAGCAACTTGGAAATTTTCAAATTTTAACTGCTTGAGTAGCTTGCTTCAAAAACTAATGATTTATCATTTAAACCAATTTAAGCTGTAAAATAACCGGAATTGCTTCAAACCTGCATTGCTTTTAAAACCTTTAGAGAGTGCATTGAAGCCATCAAAACCATTTAGCTAATATACTTTGCTGAATTGAAAAAACCAATTTAAGCTGTAAAATAACCGGAATTGCTTCAAACCTGCATTGCTTTTAAAACCTTTAGAGAGTGCATTGAAGCCATCAAAACCATTTAGCTAATATACTTTGCTGAATTGATTAGAGTTGAAAAAAAAACTGGCATCTTCTTAGACCAAAAAGTTTCCAAAACAGACGCATTGCTTCCAAAAAAACTGACAAAATTCTTTTTGAGTTAGAATCATCCAGTCTTTCGTTTCCTGAATGGGTGCATTAGAAATTATAAATTACAAATGATCACTCATTTTGCTTCCAAAATACTAGTATGTCATACAATAAGTTGCGATTCTTCCAACTTGAACATATGCCCTGAGAATTTAATCCAGCTGTTCCTCAATTCCCATTTTTTTATTTTTTTTTTGCTTCAATCCATTGTAAATAAACCTAATATAAGCTAGTTGTGGCTTATATAACTTCAAATTTTTGACCATATTGTAAAAATTATAGGTTTTAGCAGAAATTTTTTTCCGTAAACAAATGTTCTAACGAATTTTAAACCTGCTTTTTTATTGAATCTTAACAATTGCTGGTTCTTTCTCACTTGGCCTAGAGCTAACAGTGTCGTCTTTGCAACCTAAGATCCTCATTTCCCATTTTTTTGTTTGTTTGCTTCAATCCATTGTAAATAAACCTGATATAAGCTAGTTCTGGCCTATATAACTTCAAATTTTTGACCATATTGTAAAAATTATAGATTTTAGCTGAAATTTCTTCCGTAAACAAATGTTCTAACGAATTTTAAACCTGCTTTTTTATTGAATCTTAACAATTGCTGGTTCTTTCTCACTTGGCCTAGAGCTAACGCTGTCGTCTTTGCAACCTAAGATCCTCATTTCCCATTTTTTTGTTTGTTTGCTTCAATCCATTGTAAATAAACCTGATATAAGCTAGTTCTGGCCTATATAACTTCAAATTTTTGACCATATTGTAAAAATTATAGATTTTAGCTGAAATTTCTTCCGTAAACAAATGTTCTAACGAATTTTAAACCTGCTTTTTTATTGATTCTTAACAATTGCTGGTTCTTTCTCACTTGGCCTAGAGCTAACGCTGTCGTCTTTGCAACCTAAGATCCTCACTTCCCATTTTTTTTTGTTTGCTTCAATCCATTGTAAATAAACCTAATATAAGCTAGTTCTGGCTTATATAACTTCAAATTTTTGACCATATTGTAAAAATTATAGGTTTTAGCTGAAATTTTTTCCGTAAACAAATGTTCTAACGAACTTTAAACCTGCTTTTTTATTGAATCTTAACAATTGCTGGTTCTTTCTCACTTGGCCTAGAGCTAACGCTGTCGTCTTTGCAACCTAAGATCCTCACTTCCCATTTTTTTGTTTGTTTGCTTCAATCCATTGTAAATAAACCTAATATTAGCTAGTTCTGGCCTATATAACTTCAAATTTTTGACCATATTGTAAAAAATTATAGATTTTAGCTGAAATTTCTTCCGTAAACAAATGTTCTAACGAATTTTAAACCTGCTTTTTTATTGAATCTTAACAATTGCTGGTTCTTTCTCACTTGGCCTAGAGCTAACGCTGTCGTCTTTGCAACCTAAGATCCTCACTTCCCATTTTTTTGTTTGTTTGCTTCAATCCATTGTAAATAAACCTAATATAAGCTAGTTCTGGCCTATATAACTTCAAATTTTTGACCATATTGTAAAATTTATAGATTTTAGCTGAAATTGTTTCCGTAAACAAATGTTCTAACAAATTTTAAACCTGCTTTTTTATTGAATCTTAACAATTGCTGGTTCTTTCTCACTTGGCCTAGAGCTAACGCTGTCGTTTTTGCAACCTAAGATCCGGGTTCGAATCCCGACCGGACCTTGTTTTTTTCTGTTTATGCAACTGAAAAAAATTTTCCAGTCAAAAATGATTTGTCGGACTTTCGTTTAGCTGCTCAAATTTTGTCAACTTAAATGCCACATCACGGATTTTTTGTGCTGTACGCAAGTATCATGGTAGTTGCAAGTGTTGTTTATTGAACTTTCAGGGGGACTTTATTGGCTCAACCGGTTTTTTCTTATAGATTGTCGGCTTCGTTTCCGCTTCATTAGTTTTGTTCTGTTGCTAATTTAAAATTCAAATGTCTTGCTTGGCATGTTTGCCTGGATTTCCTCTTTGATAAAAACCGATATTATGAAAATGTATGGGATCGGGTTTTTAAGAACCTTTGGAAATTTATTTTCTCAAAAATTTCTACTGATTTTCAGAACAAGGGGTGTCAAAGGAAAGACCGCTTACTCTACTGTGCCTGCATACTCCCCTAGTATTTTTTTTGCTTTACCCGTCTGTCTACAGCATTCGAAAAGAAATCTGTGGGGGGGGGGGGGGGGGAATAATTAACCTATATTTTCGTTTTCTCAAAAATTACCCTCCTAATTTTGAGACTTCGGTTTCAATTAATAGCACGGATTTGAAAAGCTTCCCTGCATAAGCAGCTACTCGCAAAATTTTTAGACATTAAGTAAGGGCCCTCGTAACTTTTCGATTTTTTAACCGTTTCTTGTTTTTTTTCAAGTTTGCTCAAAAATAAGCTCTCAAATCTGAGATTGTTGTTTGGAGATCACGGGTAGTAGAAAGCTCCCCTGCAGTAGTGACTACTCACAAAAAATTTTTGCAAGAAATTTTTTGCCTTAGAAGAGTCAATTTTTTTGACTTTTTGACCCTTTTCTGAATATTTTTTTGACTTTTTGACCCTTTTCTGAATTTTGACCCTTTTCTGAACGGGTTATGGAAGCTCCTTCGCATACGCGCCTACTCGCAATTTTTCTTGAATCGGAAAAATCAGAATTTTGATTTTTTTATTGTTTTTTGATTTTTTTTACTTTTCTCGAAAACTACCATCCCAAATCTGAATTTTTGGGTTCAATCGAAATTACAGGTTGCGTGAATCTCTTCTGCATAAGCGGCTACGCCCAAATGTGTTTATACCAAAAGCTATAATTCTTTGGAAAGGTCTTTTTTTTCGATTTGTTGACACTTTTTTTGGATTTTTCTCAATAACTATCCTGCCAAATCTGATGTCATAGTTTTAATTGAAACAACAGGTCGTTGAAAGCCTACCTTTTTACTTAGCTACGACCAATTTCTTTTATTTCAAAAATCAATTGCCTTCAAATAAGTCAAAGTTTTGAAAGTCAAAGTTTTACTTTGATCGTTGTTTCGAAACTTTTTGATTTTTATCGAGAAACGCGGTTTTGCAGAAATATGTACTCAAGATTTTTCGACATTATTTGATGACTGGTCCCCCAAGCCGTACAAGGAATTGGTAAATCGAAAAGATTTTTCTCAGATTTTAAGCCTTCGAACTTTATGCTAAGTTATTGAATTGGTTTCATGGATTCGTTAAATGCATCTATTCTTGGTAGGTTGAATGTGTGCGGAGCTATACTGCTAATTCAGGTTTTCTTCGAGGTGTTTCAGCTTAGGGCTATCTGCAGTTGCGTTTAATCTGCAGTTGAAATCCAGTACTAGTTGCAGTTGTTTGCCGCACGGAAGCAACTGGAAGCTCCGTTTTGCTCATGGAATGGCCAATTTAGCCGATGGCGTTTCAATTTGAAACAAACAATACTCGTTTGACAAACTTTCATAACACTTTCAATCTAAAGCGAAAAGCAAGTTATATACTGAAGCTAGTAATTTTCTGTTTAGAGGCTTTCAAATTTGAGCTCAAATGGAGTAATTTCATGCCCCTAAAATAAAGTTTATTTGCTTAACACTTAAATTTTGATTGCTTTTTACAAAAGTTTGAACATCAAAAGTCGAGGCACCGGCTTAACTCACTTCGGATATTTTTTGCGCGGCTCAAGGAATAAATTATGTTTTATGTGGCTGATAAAATCAATTAATTTTTTTAAATTAGGAGCTTTGATTTACATTCTAAAATCAGTCTGAAGCTTCGATTTTATGACAAATGTTTTTTTTATGTGAAGTTGAACAGAATAACAAAATTTTATATTCACTTCGCTTTTCTAATAGATTTTTCTTAATATTGAGCTTACTTGATTACTTTTACTTTTATGATGCGATTTGACGCACCACAGTATTAGTTCTTTGTTGAGCCTCGTTTGATAATTTTTCAAGTCCCGTATCATTTATATCTGCTAGTTAGTACCTGCACTAATCCGATCATAACTCAACTGATCGTTAATTCTGGCTTTAGAGAGAATTAACTTTAGCTCTGATCAAATTTTCAGGATTTGATTGTTATGTTATGGCTTTTATTTGTTAGGGATTCAGGTAAATTTACCAAATTTGCTTTCGTAGGTTTTTTCGGGTAGCGACGGTGAATTTGCTAATTCCATTAATCTGCTTTTCAATCGTCGAAAAGGCAGAAGTTAATTGTGATTTTTATATATCTTATAACGAAAAACGATAGCCTGTGAAACGTCATTTCAATTCGGAGCTCCAATTTTTGTCATCAAAATATTTCACATGAATAAAAAATATTGTAATACATTGTCGTTGAAAAAACGAAATTTGCCCGGATAAAAACACGCTGAGCAGAAATTTTCCTTCATTTTTTTTCGAAAATTGGATCAGTAGCATTTTTCGTGTCGACATATTGAAGTTGGAGAGGAACGCGTGCTGAAAGAAGAAATTGATTGTTTTTGTTGAAAGTGTTCCCAATTTTTATCAACGGTATTTTTCTCAAAAAAAAGTTTTAGAAGGTTTTTCACATATATTGTCATTGGGAGAAAGAAGAAAAACTTAGTTTAATAGACCATTGAGGCGTAATTCTCGTTTTATCATTGAATTCTACCTGCGGGTCTAGGGCAAACATCCGCTACGTCAAACAACTGAACTTACACAATAATTACATAATAAGGTGACGGTAGAACTTCAAACACAATACATTGCTCTAGTCACCAATTCCAATTTAGCCGATTCTCGTTCTAAGGTCGCTGGTGGACGCGCGTGACCGTGGCAATAACCGGCTCTAATTTTTGTATTGATTCCTAGCTTCTTATGACAAGTTTGCAACACGTTGGCGCGTCTGCGACTCTTACTTTGATTTCGGTCAATTCAGCATCTTTTAGGTGAACTGTAAAAATCGGATCTTAGCCCTGCTTGTTGAAAAATGTTGATGTATACCCTAGTAAAGTTGTTTTTCGGATGTTTTCAACACTTCATATTTTCGGATGTTTGAAATATCGGATGTTTGCGCGGTACCCTCTAACTTTAGCTATTTTAATAAGTTTTCTTGGTTATAAATTAGAGCCTAACTCTCACAAGCAATAAACAAGGATTATGACGGGCTTTGAACAGCAAACCTGTCGAGTGGAAATTGAAATCAATCGACGCTCCGCTGTTTTGAATTTGCAGAACGTCCTAATTCATGACCACCTTTTCCATACAATTGATTCGGCTCTCTTAAGAAAACAAACCCTTACTACCTAACGGTTTTAGCATTTAGGATTAGCCAAGCTTAAAAAAAGTTTTTGTTTCTTGAATTAATTGGTCATCCTATGTGCGTCATTTTTAAAGCGGAGACAAAGCCGATCGTCAACTAAAACGACTGTCTTCACTGAGTGGTTTGAGAGGCTCAGGTCATAAGTCCCGAATGAACAACAGTGGCGGGGCAGGGGCAGCGACTGGGGCCAAGTACGTGACCTATTCTACTGACGTGAGTGTATCTAAGACAGAGGATGAGGATGAGTCATCATTCGGAGGCTACGAGCAACCTAAACTTCATCAACATAACAATAAACAGCAGAATAAACCAGTCCCAAATGCCCAAATTCTTGAGAATTTCGTGAGTTTGCAGTTTGATTTGAGAGTTAGATTATTTAGAACTCGGAGATTTTAAAAAAAATTTGGTCTCCGGCATCCCCATCCCTGTAATTGTTACAGTTAATTGTAAGTTTTACGGGAGTAAAGCGACGAAAACGATCACAACTTGTGTCAAAATCTCTCAAAAAAGACTTAAGCATCCGTTATTTTTTAAATTTATCAATTTGTGCAGGCGGAATTGGTTGCTGCTTTTGAACGAAGTGTCTCAAGCATGAACAAACAAATTCACAAGCAGATGAGTGGATCTCCCAAACTCCCTCGGAGAACTCACTCAAGTGTACAAGAGAGATCAGGCGGTCTGCCGCACGCTTATTCGGCCAACTGGTACGCCACAGATGCTCACAGCAGGGAAGAACTGGACGAGCCTTCTTCATCCGCGAACAAACCAGGACTCATAGGGGGGTCCCAAGGCAATATGTGGGACGCTTTCGGGTCCATGCCTCGCAGGAGTCAGAGTCAACGAAACCCACCTAGGGGTCAATTCGGAGAAGAGTTTCAAGGGGATGGAAATGTGTACGAAGGTATTGGCACTAACCCAAGGAGAAACAGTCCATATTCACGTACGTGCAGCTATTGACCATTTCAATTATTAGACTTGTTTCCTGATTTTTAATTTTATTATCAATGACGTAACTTCCATCAAATCATTGCATTTTTGGGTGAAATTCCAAATATTATTTTCATGGACTTCAGTCTTATTTCAGCAGCTCACTCCGATTTTCACAGACCAATTTACCCCTCCTCTACCTCCCCAAATTCGGGCTACAATTTCGCAGCACCAGACTACTCTGGATCGAATCCTTACGCCTCATCCTCCTCCCGACCCACTCCCCCACCACCCCCTCCGAGGTCCTTTCTGGATCAGGGAGAGCAGGGGGGTCATCGTGCTCCAATAGTAGGCGACCCGAGACAACACTATAGTCCTTATCAGCTGAGCGATCCGTCACCGTCTCTTGGGGTCAAGGCGAAATCGAAGATTGCGGCCTGGGTTGGTATAATAAGCAGATTTCACTGTTTCTTTTTAATTATCCTTTTGTTTTTTTTTATTTTAAAAAATAGTTTCCGTGTTTCAAAATCACTCTTGTTTCAAAATTTTTGGTTCACAGATTGTTGCGATGAAATATATGATGAACTAGCATGTTCAAGGTTGGTAATTTATTCAGCATGCAAAAATTCATTTCAGTATTACGACGTCATGTAAGCTTTTCAATTTAATACACTCAATTGAAGAAAAAGGGTTTCTCAAGCTGGACTTAGATTCGCTTGCAATTAGCAAGCGTTAATAAATCGGAACTTGAACTTTTTTTCAGGTTAACAACTTATTTAACAGAATCGCTGAAACAATTCTTCGCTGAATCTGTTTTCGTCAAACAACGGAATTTTTTGCGTATTTGCATTTAAATATACGAGTTTTTATCGAAGTTCGTTTTAAAGTGTTAATAAACGCATAGAAGACACTTAAATAGACCTCAACGATTTTTTTTCGATTTTTTAAAGAAAAAGTCTTAAATTGTGATCATTCCAAATTTGATTTTTTTGCGGTTTGACTTTGTTAAAAGGACGACAAATTGCACTATTTAACCGCAAAATTTTAAAGGCCACTAAAAACTTAAATTACTTCTAGTTCCAAAAATAGACTTAATTTTTCTGATTTCCTGCGGAATAAAATTTTTTCCTAGTAATCCTGTTTTCTCTAAATTGGATAATTTTAAGAAAAAAGGCAATGATAAACAATTCTTGAAACCCATGTATTAGATTTTATATTCTTCGAAATTTGAAGTTTGAAAAAAAAATCAAAAAGTTTCAATCATTTTTTTGTCTTAGTATAAAAACTTAGTATCCATGTTTTTACACAAGCAAAGGTTGTGTGATAGTATGAACTCTCTTTGTTTTGTTCTAACCTAAGTCGAAAATATTAGTGTTAATTTTGAAAGCGTTTTTTTTATTGCAGTATGTGCATAAGATCATTAACCAACCATTAAGTTCAGCTAATAATAAGGATGTTAACACAGACTTTTATATTACAAATAGCACTCTAGCTTCAAGGTAACATGGATCTGTAGCGTAGTGGTAGGGAAGGAAACCTGCAACAAAACAAGAGGGTTCGAACCTGGGCAGGGTCGGATGTTTTCAATGAACTTTTTCGTATACTAGTTAAAATTTGTCCGCTCTATAAATTGAGGCATGTTAGTTGGTAATTTTTTGTCAAATTGACTGGTACTGCCAATGCGTCATAATTGGCTTGCGTCGCTTAGCAATTATGTAGTTTCATAATTTGTGTGCGTCCTTGAAGAAATTCTGTAGATTCAAAGTTTTACACATTCAGTTTTTCCCAGTAGCGTTATCGGTCATATTTTTGCTTGTGTATGCGAAGTGCAACTTCGTCTCTATGTAAAAGTTTAGGCCAGAGCTGAAACCAGTGCTCAGTCAAGTATTTGTTCGACTTTCTAAGAAAATAACGGAATGTATATATGCTTCGGGTGGTTTTTTCAGATCAGTTTCTTCCATCGATTTTGATGGTTTTAAGCAGAAAGTTTCAAGTTCTCAATGTTAAATATGGACTCTCTGAGGAAATACGGAATCCCTGAGATCAAATGACAAAATTTTTTACCTGCAATTATATGGAGATTTTAAAATTGCTCTTTTGGCCACATTCTGGATTAATTTATGCGTGCTTTTAAGAATTTACCTATGATGATGAAACCGTAAACGCGAATTATATAAGCGTGTCGAATTTTATCTCTCTGAAAGTCATTCTTAGTTGATTTGCGGCAAGCTGATGTCATGTTAATTTCCTATACGACTCAATTTATAACAATTACTATTTTGAACTTACTGTTTGGGGAGGAAAAACAAACAATGTTCAAAATTCATAGTTTATCAAATTTCACTCACCAACAATTGTTCGATACCAGCTTACCGGCAGTGGAACATTCAGGGCTTTGAGTTGATACGAGCAGTCTTGTTTATCTTTTAGAACACTATTTTTGAATTTTTTTCAAAATGCATAAAAAATTTGAGCGATTTTTTTTGCCAGCTTCCGGTGAAGTTGGTGCGAAGAAAAAGGAGCAAAACACACCAGAGGGCAGCCCAAGCTACCAGTTCATTCCAGTTGAGCCAGCAACCTCAGGCAGGTCAGAGGAGCGATCAGAGAGAAAGGAGTCGGAGTCCTTCGCCTGTGTTCGGGGCACACGGAGGAGGCGGTCACTTCCCTTCTTCTGCTTCAAAAGACGGGATCTTTGGAGTGCCGTCCCAATCTACACTCAACAGAAGGTAAATGTTAGCCGAATTTTTCTTGTAATAAGTCTGGAGGTAACGAAAGTGCCTTGGGTTCGACTCTGACCAGGACCTGAGCGTCAAATTCGAAATGAGCGTCAAAAGATCTGGAATTTTTTTTTACAGTTCAGTAAGATGTTTATTTGTGAGGTGAGTGTATTCAAAATAAAACAAAGATAGCCGATTACTGTGCAAGTGGCACAGAATGTCCGACCACAGTCTTGGTAAAATACAAAAACTTTTTTTTTCAGTTTAGTGTCGTTTTTTTCCTCATGGTGTGATAAAAAGATCTGAACGAGAAAACAGAACTTGTGCATATTTGACAGTCATAGTAAAAAGGCCATTCGGAAAACAGTTTTTGAAGAAACTTGACTAGAAAAACGAAAAAAAAAGTTAAAAAATTTCAAAATTTTTTGCAGAAATTTTTGGAATTTTGAACCTTTGTTTACAAAATGGCGCTAAAAAACTCCAAAAACTACTTCTATTTGAGTACAGCTAAGTTTTCACGGCGTAAAAGTAGCTTAAATAAGCTATTGTAAGCCTACACGCTCACACCATATTAGTTCGAAATTAGACCAAAAATAAAAAAATTTCAAACCGGTTTTTCTCGACACTGTCGTTCGAATTACGATTGAAAGGTCGTTCGAATCACAATTGAAAGGGCTTTAACATGATGTATCACTTGAACCATTCCGATAATTATTTGTGGTACCCGATTAATTTTTTTTTGCAACCATATGCAGGCTGGCTATGTATGTTTTCAGACTGGCAATCATCTTGCATGGAATTTTTATAGGCCAAATAACGCCCGTCTAAGTATATTAATTTCATACACATGTTTTAAAAGTACAGGCCAGAGCTGAAACCAGTGTTAGTCAAGTATTTGTTCCGACTTTCGAAGAAAATAACAGAATATATATATGCTTCGGGTGATTTTCTTAGATCAGTTTTGCACATCAATTTTAATAGTTCTAAGCAAGTCCTCAGAGAAAATACGGACACCCTGAAATTAAATGACAAAATATTTTACCTGCGATTATCTGGAGATCTAAAAATTGCTCTTTCGGCCACATTCTGGATTAATTTATGATATCTTAATATGATATATCACTTGACCCATTCCGATAATTATTTGTACCTGATTTTGCGTGGAAAACAAAAAGAAAAAAAAACTAACACACCCAAATACAAGTTCCTCCGAACAAGCGGTCGGAACAACCAGTCTATATAAATCTTCAAAGTTCTCAGAACAATCAGTTGAAATTGTATCCAACTCCTCAGACATTATTATTACGTCATAAAACTGCTAGTCGGTCTAAGAAATTTTTTTTTGTGTTTTTACATAAATGTATAATCTATACTATATTTAAATGCGTGTGACACGTATCGTGCCATGTTTAATCACGCCATGTTTAAGCCATGTTTATCGTGCCATGTTTAAGCTGTCAGAATACTATTGGGGGTTGCGAATCTCACTTCCAATTATGACTGTTCAAATCTTTGTAGTTTACAAGATATGACGTGTGTTGTGATTTTTGAAAATCTCAGAGTACTCGAGGGGATTGCAAATCTCGCCGCCACATATGACTGCTCAGGACTTTTCAATTTTCCAGATGTGACGTTTTTATGGTTTTTCAATTTTTTTTTCGAAACTTAATTTTAAAAGTTTTCTCAAAGTTCGAAATTCCTAACCCTGTAATTGGGTACTGTGAGAGTACTCTAAAGTGTTGTAAATGTAGCGTCCAAACGCGACTGCTCAAAAGCTTTTATTTTCCAAGATGTGATGTTTTTTATGTTGTTTTAAAAGTTTTTAAAAGCGTTCACTCTGAAATCGTCAGATCGTGTATTCGATCCCATGCCATGGCAATGATAGTGTGTGAGGACAAACTCTCACTTGACCTCCAGCTTCAGGTCTACCACAACCTGACCAAATTTGGCTGCAATAGTGGTGCCACGTAAAAAAGTTCTAGACGCAAAAAAAAACGGCCTTGAGTCGCAAAAAAAACAGCTTCGCTCAGCAAAATAACACTGTCTGGAATGTGGGGAGATAATACAAATGGACTATCCTCGACAGGACTGTTAAGGCCTACTGATAGCTCCTCTGCGATTCGCAGGAACTACAATTATTATTAATTATAAAAAACTTTATTTTTTCTTTAATTATAAAAAATTTAATGGTTTTCTCAAAATTTGTATTTGAAAACTCATAGAAAAAACTTAAAAACATTTGAAATTACGAACCGTGTTATTGGTTAGTGTCAGAGTACACTCAAAGGTTCCACATCTTTTTTTTCAATTTTTCCTGTTTTTTTATGAGTTCTCAAAAGTTCGAAGCACCGGAGGTGCGTTACACGCTAGTTTTTTGTGGATAAGGTACGTTTTGTTCTTCTAAAACTATTGTGACGCGACCATTTCAGGGGCTATCAAGGAGGACGAGGCGCTGGAGCCGGCAGTCCGATGGAGATCGGGGGTGGAGTAGTAGGAGGAGTTTACTCTCTCGGGGAGTTGGCAAAGACGTTGAAAGACGCTGAGAGGCAGATTGCGAGGCTGAATCGGGAACAGTCGCTCATGAGCCGAAACTTCGAAGGCAGTCGCAAAGACGTACTCGCTCTCCAGGTCAGACTTTTACAGTGTGAATAAAAAGCCGAAGTAATAAGCAGCCCAAAATAACGTTTTTTGATGAAATTTGCCATTTTTTGGAACTGTCACATAATTGCTCAATTATTGCCCTTTCAATAAACAAGGGTATTGTAACCGGGTACTAGATTTTTTTTCCGGTAAACATCCTTGTCCACAGGACCTTCAATTCTAGAGGATTTCTTCGAGAGAATCTTTACTTCTAGAGGACCTGTCATCTGACATGCTCAGTTTCTTGAAAATTCAAATAAAAGTTCTATTACTAAGCTAATAATTAGTTCAAGCCCGTTTCTGGTTGTAATTTTCTTTTTTATCTGGCAGGGTTTTTATTGGTTTACTTTTTAAAGCATGAGTTTTTACTAAAATTTGTAAGTTCACAAATTTGTAATATTACCATGTCTGATTTTGAGCTTTTTTCGTTTTTTTAAATATTCAAAAAGTTTCACTTTATGTTCTATCGATTTAGTCAAACTTTTTTGGGTAATTTCGGGGGCAAAATATATCCGTTTGGGGTTATGTGTTTCAGTTTCAATGGGTCGTAAAAACTTTTTTATGACAATAGTTTTGTTTTCGGCTCAACAGGTTTCGACCCAAAGTTTGTCGCCTATGTTGCCGCTCGGTAAACGATTTCCATTTTTACACAAGCAATGCTTGTGTTATAGTATAAACTATCTTTTTTTTCCAACCTAAGTCGCAAATATTGTTGCGACGCAAATATTGTTGCGACGAAAATATTGTTGCGACCCAAATATTGCGATAAATTGTGTTCATTTTGAAAGTGTTCCTTTTGATAAACAACCAGCTATTAAGTACAGCCAATGCTAAGGATTTTAACACAGACTATTATTGTTCCGACTTTCGTAACGAAAGTAACGGAATATTTGTGCTCCGGGTGGTTTTTTCTTCAGACAAATTTCGACTTTTTGACTAGCCAATTTTGACGGGATTTCGTATATCTTTCAAAAAGTATTCTTGCCCTGAGCTTAAATTAGGAAAGATATTTCACCTGTGATCATTTTTTGTAAAATTATGGGGCATTTCGGCCAATTTGGGACAATTAACGCGCGATATATTTCGCACAATTAACGCGTAAGCGGAGATTTAATCCGTCATAGAAATCGTTCCAAAAAGGTTGAAGAAAGCTTATTTGCCATAATTGATTTGATATAGGAGTAAAATTTATCACTTTGTACTTAGTATGGCGTGTGGGGGGATGATTTTCACAAAAAATCTTAGATTAAGAAAACATTTCTTCTTTTTTTTTTAAATTTAATATTTTCCTGATATTACTGCTGCCTATACTGCTCTATAAATTGAGGCATCTTAGTTGGTAAATTTATTCTTTTTTTTTCAAATTGACTGGTACTGCTAATGCGTTATAATTTCCAGTAGCGCTATAGTTTTTTCCAGTAGCGTTAACGATTATATTTTTGCTTGTGTATGCGAAGTGCAACTTCGCCTCTGTGTTAAGCGCCGTTTATGAACTTCATCTGATAAAGTTTTTGTATCTGTAGTTTTTCATTTTTAGTCAAGTTATTCAAATAATTTTTTCCAACAATGTTTCATCAGAGTTTTTCTTGCTTCTGTCTTTTTTCATTCACTATTTGTAGCGCAACGTTGTTTTGCATCGCAAGTGTTGCGAAGCTGCGCTTCGCCTCTGTGTTATTATAAAACCATAGTTTTAGTTACCATAGTCAGTCCGATATGTCGCAGCACCTGTCTGTAGAACCAGCCAAAAATACAGACCAGTTAGTTACAATTGGTCTGTATTTTTGGCTGGTTCTACAGACAGGTGCTGCGACATATCGGACTGAGAGATTTCATCCAACTTGAACTCACTTGATAACTCAGCTGGTTTGTATACTACGCAGTCCTACTATTCTAGAACTTATACTAGCGAGCTAGCGAGTTTGGCTCTACGTTTTTTCCTGAGTAACTCGCAAGTAAACATGCTCAATTGGTGACACTTTAGCTATAATAACTATCTGTAGCATTGGAAATTTCAAACTCCTGTTCTCTGATTTATTTTTTGCCTGAAATTGCCAATCGCTAAGTGACAGTGACCGTGGTACAGGTGGAAGGACGTGGTACTCCTTATTTACGGTTGAATATTCAACGCCGCACTTAGAACTAGTTTTATTTATATTTGGTGGCATTTTTCTGCATAGAATTAGCAGTTTTCTAGCATTTGTAGCTGTATCTTGTTTTTGGTTGCTAGTATTACAATGGCCGGTGGCGCAGATGCGAGAACGTGAGACATCAAATTTGAAGGTCGCAGGTTGAATCCGACACATAGCAAAAGTTTTATTAATCCGAGGCTTATTTCTACTTTTTCTTATTTCACTTTATAGAGCTGCTTTTTTCAATTTCTCGCTAGTAGTTGCGAAGCTTTGCTTCTGTGTTAATCATGATATCAAATTTATTGAATTTCAATGTATTGCATTTTTTTTCTCTTTTCCGGTCAAAAATCCCCCAATGACGGTAATTTTCCAGGTATCAAATGAGTCGAATAAGATTTTTTTGATGAAACGGAGAGATGCAATGCAGTCTTGAAAGCTGCATCCTACAATTTTGTTTGCTTCTCGCCAAAAAATCAAGACCCTGTTATTTCAAGGCCTGTATGAAGATGAAATTTTTGGAAATTAAGTGTAATCGTTCTAGTAGCTCCTTCCAGATTAATATCTTTGATACCTTCTGGCGTTTTGTAATTTTTTAAACATTTTTGAGCCCGTAGTTTATCGGAATTTGGGACCTAAATTTGCTGGTTTGACGCTTGTAATTTCTCGACAGTAATTTTCCAGCGGTATCATAGGGTTTTCTTGTGACATTTTTTTATTAGTTTTGCGCAAAATTTTTTCTCTGACACTTGTCGTTTGGACTGGAAATAGGGTTGGCCAGAAAGTTTTTTAATATGCGTGTTAGTAATTGTAAGAAAGGAAAGTTTGGACCAGTTTAGACCAAGTTTCCTCACTTTTATCCAATCAGAATCGTTCTGCTTTTAAATCGACCACAAATGTCAACGAGCCAAGTTAAGTCAATTATTTAGTTCTTGTGTTTTTTGTTTTGTTTTTCGAAAATTTTCTTAGATGTTTTTTCACGCTCAATTTTGATGTTTTGCGCTTTTGTTGATTTCTATTCAGCTTCAATCAAATTCAATTGCTAAATGATTTCCAATTTTGGTCTCCTGAATCCAATTTCGCTCTCCAATAAAAAAAATTACAAGTAGTGCGAAAAAAAAATGCTTCCATTCCAAAATTGGAATTAGTTTTCAGAATTTTCAGCGGAAAAAATTGTCTACTGGCCCAGATTTTTCTAATTGGGTTTGATTTTCAATTTTTTTTTTCAAAAAAAAATTCTTTAAATTCAAAGGGGTGCAAGTGATTTTTTTTTCTGTAGTTCAAAAATTATGTAAAGAAAATCAATCATTTTTTCTTTCCTCGAATGCATTGAATACGTGGAAAGAATACTAATTTTGATAAAGGAGTGCGCACCAAAAAACGCGAATTTTTGGTCTAAACCATCATAAAAAGTGTCTAAAAACGTCGGTTTGGCATGTTTGGTCTAAAAACGCCGGTTTGCAGCGCAATTATTGTTGCCAAGAAGTGGCTCTATATGTGTTTTGGTAGAACTCAGAAAATCAATATTTGTTCGACCAAAAAAAATTCTGAAGGTCACCTCCCCCCTCGAGAAAGGCTATGCTTTGGCTCTACTTGGCTATTCTTTGACTTAAGTGATGGTTTTTGCATCGTATTTTGTATTTTAAGGTATTTTAGAGGCTCTGCTGGGTTTGAATAATTTGTTTAAATGTAAATTTTCACCATGAAACCAGTTTTTGTTTCAATCGGAATGCGAGTAATTTTTGTAAACCAAAAGGAAGTTAAATGAAAATGATTGATCACAAAATAGCGTGTTGATCAAAGTGTTCATTAGAAGATAGCGCTCTCAATTAAACTGAAATGCGTTTTTTTTCTTCTGAAAATATCCTTTCAGCCACCGTTTCTTTTCTAATTTGGACAAAAAATTCCAGTACTTTTCCAAGAGAGGCTTCGGTGCATAAGCTAATACAATTGCGATTTTGTGGAGTTAATTATAAGTTTTTTTTGGTATCAGACTGAGAACGAGAAGCTGAAGCGTGACTACATGGCGATCCAGAGGGAACTGCAGACCATCCGGATGTCCACATCGCCGCCGGAGTCACCCCACAACCACGCTGTTGTCCCCATGGCACACCCCAGACTTCAATCATCGCCCCAATTAGACCAGATTGACTCAGCAGGTAGAAATTTTGATGCATTACCAAATCTTCAGATTTTTTCGGTCTTCGGATTTCTTGACCGGTCTTCGGATCTCTTGACCGGTCTTCGGATCTCTTGACCGGTCTTCGGATCTCTTTACCGGTCTTCGGATCTCTTGATTGGTCTTCGGATCTCTTGACCGGTTTTCGGATTTCTTGAAGACCATCGGTCTTCGGATCTCTTTAACATCTTTGGATCTTGTCGGTCTTCGGATCTTGTCGGTCTTCGGATCTATTGTCGGTCTTCGGATCTCTTGAACATCATGAAACCCAAGCCATAATTTGGGGGTTTTCGTTTTTTTTAGCTCACTCGTTTACACAATTGAACATGAGACTAAGGCGCAATTTTTGACTACTAGCAACATGGTGGCTCTTATAAAGATTTTTTCTCTGAAAAGAACTGATAACGTTAACTGTCCTTGATATACGACTCTTCATTTCACGCAGGTGGCTACTCGTCGATGAAAAGGAAGCAGCAGCAGCAGTCTACGTTGAGTAGAGACCGGGGAGCAAGTTATGAGGCCCACCTGGAGAGTCCCATTATTGCCCCCTATGGGGGAGGAGGACTGAGGGGGGATCGGATAGTGAACAATAATGGACTCAACAGAAGTTTGGGGGGAAGGGCTGGCACTCCATACTCTATCGCCAATACGGGTAAACAACATACTCAAGTTTTTTATTCAAATTTTAAAAAAGAAATTTGACCTTCAGTGATCCGTAAATTGAAGCGTTCAAATTTGAAAAGTTACACCATAGCACAATAATTACGCGTGCGGTTATCAAATTGTCAAAATTTTAAATTGTCAATTTTTTCAAAAATTCATCGGATGTTCATTTCAATCCTGAAAAAAGTATTACTATTTTGAAGTTTTGTTTGAAATACGATGACAAACTGTTATACATATTTTTCAACTTTTTTTATTGTTGAATCAGCCTCTTCTTCCCGTGACGTGCTCGACCACTCCGCCTATTCTGTGGACGACTGCATCACTCCCCCCTCAAGAGTCAACCAAGTCCAGCTGAGTCTGGAAGCACCATGGAATACCCATCGTTTCACCAGAGACAGAGAATCACCATCGCTGCAGTCCAACACTGTAAGTTCTATAATAAAAATAGTAAAAACAACGGATTGCGAGCTAGTAACAATTCTTCTTATTCGGCCCTCGTAAATGCTCAAAAATTTTGTGACTAGTGCTTTTCTCAATAGAAAAGTCAAGAGTTCAGAAAAAGATAAGTAAATTACGCAAAAAGAGTCGATGCTAGTCTTAATCAGGGTTTTTCATTAGTCGAAAATCTCATATGTTGATTTTTCATTTAGTGGGTAAATTATGTTCAAAACATGGAATCTTTACTAGTTTCCTCTTGAATGCATTTTTTTCGTTTTTAGAATACTTACACAAGCTAATATGAATAAATGCATGTTTTTTATTACAATGTATGAAAGGGCCAAAAATGTGTTTTTCAGGAACAGAAATTGAGATGTGTGACTCTGTGCGATGACTTCGAGATCAAACCAGACACAGGATGGGCGGAACTGGACCGCAAGCTAGAGGTCCTATTCCACAAACTGGCTTCCACCATTGATCCAGAGTCATCTTTAGGACTGGATTTCTACACTGATGTGCATTGCTACTCTATAGGAGAGGTAAAGTATCTTTCTTTCAAATTAGTTCTATCCGTATGTTATGTGGTCATCACTTCAAATGTTTTGTGAAAATTGACAAAAAATCAAAACAATAGGAAAAAATTTACTATACGTGTTCCGAAGCTGAAAGAAAAAATCTCATTTTTCTTTTAGTAAGCGTTATCAAATCATAACATAGATTGTTTCATGTTAGGTACTTGTCTACGAGAAACACAGAATCATTTGACAGATTGATTTATAGCAAAATCAAGTTCGTTGTCTCATTCTGCGCATTTAGCGCTGAGGTCACGTCCATGCCTGGAACGATTAAGTTCCAGGGTTTGAAAATAATCTCGAAATTTTCTGCTGGAAAATTGTATTTCGGCATATCGTTTGTCCGCTCTTTTTGCCACATCACTGACTTTCTTCAGATTAAGCAATTTTCACTTATAATTGAAATGTTTTTTCATGGATTCTTATAATAGTGGTATGCATTTTTCTTTCAGGAATTGCAAAATCTTTTAATTTTGAAATTCTTTTCCTGCGCTTGTTTGTTTTGCCTCATGTAAAATGAATTTAAATGGTTCGATATTTACACTAGCGAGCTTGCGAGCACTAGTGTATTAATACGAACATTTTTTTTCAAAATTTAATTCGCTAAAAAGTCTTTATTATTTGGTGGCAAATTTTTCATTGTTTTGTGGCATTTTTGCTATAATCACGATCTGTAGCATTGGAAATTTCATAGCATCTATCTCTGCTTTATTTGGGGCTAGTGTTTGAGGTTAATTAAGCACCCATGGCTGAGTGGTTAGTGCGTTAGTCTCATATTCCATAGGTCGCTGAGCGAATCCGAGACCTGGCCGAATTTTAACTAATTCGAGGCTTATTTTTCTTTTTTCTTATTGCACTTTATAGAACTAATTTTTGTCGCGTTTTCACTAGTACTTGCGAAGCGCAGCGGAGTGTGTAAATATTTTTCATATCATAGGTTTTCCACATCGTATAATTGATTTTTGCTGTTGTTAGTAGTGCTTTGATTTACTTTTACTGTTTTTAATTTAACTGACTTTTACTTCGTATATTTTCTTTTTTGTTGTTGTTTTTTTTTCGCTTAAAAATTTTTTCTTCCCAAATAATTCTGTCTTATATTTTATCGACTTGTTGGCCTAATTTTGATTCGTTTCAAGGGAAACAGAATTTATATACTCTCCTTTAGATTGCATAAAATGCTAAAAAAAAGTTTGGTAGAATTTATAGTTTTTCATGGCAACAATTTTTTTTGGCTTTGTTTTTTCTTTTTTTTCGCTTGATAGTTTTCAGTTTATATTAAATGGGCTTAATAGTTTCATTTTGCGAAAAAAAGTTTGTATGTGCGTGTGTGTTAGTTGTTAGGGTGAGGGGGGCTTAATAACTTTTTATGTAAGTCTTAAGTCTTGTCTTAAGATTATTTTTTCGGTTTAAAGGGTGTTAAACTTTCTTCCGATGCTTTTTTCATATTATTATGATTTAGCAAGTTTTTGTTTCAACAATAGCCTTATTCATTTTGATAGGTTTAGTTTTTTGACACTTTTTTCTGAGTTAGCGGTTTTCTCATTTTTGTATTATTTTGTCGTTCCTGGGAGTCTAAATAATTTTTTGGAAAAGCTGAAACTAAACTTTTTCAGGAATAATTTTAAGATGGATTCTTGTTCATACTTTGATGCCTCGTTTCTATCTACTTGACTTTTCATTCTTCGCAGTTTGAGCGAAGCTCCGCTTCGTCTGTATCAATCGTTAAAAAGTATGCTTCTTTTATTTGTAACGACTTCTCAGATTTTAGTGGATGTCACTCTGAAGTCATTTTAGTCAGTTGTCATTTTCAAACTACAGACATTGAATCTGTTTTAAATATTTAGATTGAACGAGTTCTGTCGTCGAGTAAGTCAGAAGCTCCGAGCAGCAGATATTCGGACCCCTCGATTCTTCCGTACGGCTATTGTATCGCATCTCTTAACCTTATCGTCCTCAAACTTAACACACACTCTTCCACTTCTCTTCTGGCCATTGAGACTTGTATCAGTAAACAGACTTGGGACACCTACATTGGGCTCCTCGACAAACACAAAAAGGTACTATGTCTTTTTTGCTATTTTTCTCCAAGCTTTTGTTTTTTATCGGAAATTAATTGTCAAAATTCTTATTGAAACACTAAAAGTTTCAAATTCAAGATATAAATTTTTCGATTTTCATGAAATGTTTAATCAAAAATTCATTGGAGATTCTCAGAAAACATTTGAGCTTTGGAAGATTCATTTTGAAGAACTGAAAGAAAAAATGACACTTTTGAAATCAATATCTACCCTTGCGATAAGCAAGCAAGGGTATTGCAATCGGGTACTAGACTTTTTCACCGTAAATAACTTTGCTCGCAGAATGGTCAAAATATAAATGATAATTTTAGGTTCAGTTCATATTAAATTCAAATTTCTTTGCGTCTCCGGTACACTTGGCATGGAGGTAACGGATACGCCTGGGTTAGAAATTGACGGGACCTGTTTTTGTTCAAACGGGAGTTTAAGTTTTCAGTTTCAAAAACAAATCTTCGGCTTAGTTGCCACATCGTATAATTGTTTTTTTTTCTGTAAGCCTTTCACATTGTAGTTGCTTTTAGTGTTTTAATTTACTTCTGCTGTTTGTAATTTCTCGATTTCGTATATTTTTCTTTGTTTTTTTTCGCTTAGAAACTTTTTTCTGCCCAAATAATTTCGGCTTATATTTTATTGGCTTATTGACCTAATTTTCAGTCGTTTCAAGGTAAACATACGGTTTACGCTCACTGGATTGCACGATTTGCTTAAATCTTTATAGAAATAATAGCTCAAGTTTATCATGGGAACATTTTTTTCGGCTTTTTTTCTCGGCTTGATAGGTTTCGGGCCCGAATTATATCAGCTTAATGGCCTCATATTGCGTTTCCAACTAGCGAAAAAATTTGTTTGTGCGTGTGTGTTTTGAGGGGGGCTTGTTAACTTCTTAAAATCTTGAGTCATTTTGATTTTTTTTTTATTTAAAGGGTTTCTGCTCAGGTATTTTCGGCTTTGTTACCGCTTGGTAAATTTTCTTCTGAGTCGAGTCGAATTTCATATTTTATTGTCCTGGCATGTTTTTGTTTCAAATCTAGTCTGATTCATTTTGATAGATGTAGTTTTTTCGACAGTTGCGGTTTTTTTGCCCACTTAGTGGCTTTCTGGTTTTGTATCGCAAGTGGTGCGAAGCGCAGCTTCGTCTCTGTGTATAAATTCTGATGAATTCAATTGTGCAAACAAGAAAATACACTATCATATACTTTTAGACGTTTGTTCAATTGACATAAGTTATCAAAAATACGTTTTAAAGAAGGGAAAACAAATGCAAATGTTTTCTACAAGTGCAATATCATTTTGAAGCAAAAAGGCCAGATAGCTTCCAAATTCCATTCAGTATCAATTATCGTTTTTTATACTGTAGGTAGTGTTTATGGGACCACAATGCGTGGGAAAGAAATACTTGTCACTTCAATTAGCCATCTTCATTTCTGAGAACGGGAACAGGGGAAGAGGATCGGACACCTCTAACTCTTCTTGTGGGGGGAACTTGTCCATGTCCATCAGTTCATCTGGCAAGTCAGTTGGGGGAGGGGACGGAGAGTTCCCAAATGTGTTTGTAATGGACGCCAGTAAGGAGTCGGAGATATCGTTCAAGACAAAACTGCAGAACAACTTTATTCGGTAAATCTGAAAATATTTATATTTTATTTATGTTTTCATATACGTTTAAGATAAGGCTTAAAGGTTTACTTAAGAATACTTACGGTTGTTGCCATTAACTAAAAAGTTTTTTTTTTGATTTTGACCTATATTATTCAGCTACCATAAATTTACCGCTTTCCTCGCCGTAAAGTTCCCCGTTTTATAGTGTTTTTACAACCAATTTGGACCCTTCTAAACGCGCCTTTGGGGGGACCGTGGGCCAAGAAACGGTCAAAGCGTCCGCAAAGCACCTGAAATCAAATGTTGGGAATTATTTTTCCGCAATTGGCGTTTTGGGACAGAATTGGGTCTTGTTAGTGCTTTAGAAGGGCTCTGATATTTGCTAGGGGCCAGCAGAATAACGTTTTTTGAAAAGACGCTCCCTCACAAAAATCCTAGATCTGCCCCCATTTCAATAGAGGTCAACTTCATTTTGTTAAACATTTGATGCTTAAGAGTCGATGAACGTAGTTCAGATTTTTATATAGGTCGTGATGATTTTTTTTTCAAAGTCTTAAAATTTGTTCAGGCTCAAATTTACTTTTTCATGCTCAAATTTTTTCAGGTTCAAGTTTACTTTTGACTTTTGATTTCTTTTAAAATTCAGTTTATTTTCTTTGCTCAAAGGAAGGTAAACTCCACTTTTGATCAAGGGTCACAAATAACCTGATCGACTTCTAGTTTCGAAAGTGGAATTTAATGTTCAGATTTCTTAGCAAAATAAAAACTTTACCTATTGACTCAGTTTTCGCTAATTTAGTTATTTTTATTTAAAAAGTGTCAATCATGATTTGTTTTAGAAATTCAAAGAGCTCTAAAGCTATCTATTTTTTCTCGGAAATTCTAAAATTGAGATTTTTCAAAAAAAAAAACTTTTTTTTCTGTTTACTCTTTTTCAACTTGTTGGCTATGTTTTGTTTTTGATAATTTAATTATTTTGTTTGTAGACCAGAGCAAGAGCATGAGTACTCGACTGTGCATTGCTCAAAGGGAGGAAACGGAAGAGTGGGGGCGGGAGGGTCCAGTCGTCCCAGAAGCAGGGTGGGGGTGGTACTGAATATCCAACTGACATCTGTGGCCTCTACATTACAGACACTCAATAGCAACAGATTGACTGTGGATTACGTAATACTAACAATGCAGACACAAAACTCACAAGTGGACAATTTTAGACTATACAAAAACTTCAGGTAAATCATCATGCAAATTTTGCACTTCGCTCATTTCGTCTCTTCGTATTTTTACTCTTCGCTCATTTCGCACCTTACGCATTTCGCACCTTACGCATTTCGCTTTTTAATATTCTTACGCAAACTCTTGCTAAAATCATTGAGAAAAATCTTCCACATTGCAAATTTTGTTTTAAACATAAACGTATTGACAAAATATATTAGCTCTTTGAACTTTTCTTCAGAGCATTATTAAACCTCTTACCCCCTACCCCATAAATTTAAAATTCCTTGGTCGCCCAAAATTGGACATCGTAAAATAGTGCTAAATTCCACGCCCGGTATTACCAGAAACCAAGTTGATAAAAGGGTTACAACCAATGATTTATTATTTATCTTCACAGGTGGATTAATCTGAACACGGAAAAAGAGCCCCTCGAAGGACTCTTTGGGAGGACAGTGAATAGACGACTGGTGTGTGAACAACAAGGGTACTCAGTGTCTCCTGACAGTGCACAGGGCAGACACGTGATCAAACTGTGGAGTTGGATGGAACAGTTCTGCAGAAAAGTGACCAAATTAGTCAGCAAAATGGGACTGCAAAATGTTATCAGAGTCGGTATGTTGAATTTTAAACATTAATTTTGTTGGTGATTTGATTGAAGTTGATGGATAGGCCAAGCGAATTGGGCGGGAGGAAGGATGACGTGATTTTTTGACGAAACAAAAAAACTGCTCCGATTGTTTGTTTTCTCGAAATAATAACATTAGCACAGTTGAGTTAGACAGCATACCGACATTCGGGAAAGTTTGTAAACTTAGGTGTTTGGGTTGTAAAGAGTTCAAAAATAGGCAAAAAAGGACACGACCTTATTTAAGAGCATTTTAAAAAGCTGCTAGTAATTAACCCACATGCTAAAAAATTGATGTGGGGGAATTCTAGTTGAAATAATAAGAGAAACTAGTTTAAGAGTATAAGAGAACTACTTTTATCAGGAGTTCAGCTGAAATATTAAGAAACTTGTTATTTGTGTATATAGGACTTAAATGCCACATTTTTTCAGGTCCTTCTAAATTCCTGCTTTGTCCCATTGACCCTGATAGTCTGAGAACGTGGACAAGCAATTACTGGAACAGAGAAATCACTCCACAGCTGAAGCTTCTTTCAGGTGATGAAGATATATGTTTGATGTAGCACAATATGCAAAGCTATGCATGTAATCATTTAATATGGTCCAATTTTAGAATGAAACATTATTATGTCTAAATGTTTTTGGTCATTTTTTTTCAAAAACATCTATCGATATAACTTAAATATCACCTATTTGGTGTAACTAAACATCACCAGTAATTTTCCTCTGTATAATTATATTTTTGATCTTTTTTATTGTTTTCAAATGCCGCACGAGTTCAATGAAATCTATAGTTTTCATTTTGACCATAGAAAGGTTCAATAATCAACTCCATAGTATTACAGAATTCATATATTTTACGTATATTATATATAGTTTTTAAGTCCTACTTTGGTTTTATGAGTTCTATAATTTTTTTGTAAAGTATTTTTTTCTACAGACTCACTGCGAAATGATAAAGAATGTAGAGAGGTCATCGACTGGGTCTACCAGAGTTTTCCCTGGAACAGTTCCAGCGGAGAACAAAATCAACTCATGCCTTTATTCAGCCAAAATGACCAGCAGTTTGACTATAACGCAGACTTCGACGAACTCATTTTGTCTCTGGGACTCGACAGCAGCGAGTTAAAAAGTGACTCCAATGTCGTCAAAACACTCACGCCGGGAACCGACGAGGAAGACCCTTTCGAGCTGTTAGACGACGGGGTCGAAGATGAATCAGAATCGATTGTTCCTTTCGCCCGATCAGAGTTGAGTATTCCTTTCGTCCAACCGGAATCGAGTGCGTCTTTTGTGCAGAGTACAAGTACTGACTCGAATAATTCTGGGGGAAATCCACGGATCAAAAAGCCGACGAGACCAGTTAGACGAAACGGACTCAGCTCAAATAACGTCAAGAGTGCAAAGATTAGAACGCAGAATGGAAATCAAGGAAGCGAGCATGAATCTTTTTCAAACGAGGAGTTCTAATTTACAAAATGCGGTTCATTGGACCAATATGACAATATTCACTGAGTAATAATTCCCGTATATTTCGGAGCCGTGCACACCTCAGATTATGCTTCAAAGCCAAAATTTTCAAGTCTAGTTTTAAAAGGCAGAAAAAATATATATATCGATTATTGATCGTTCAAGTTATGTTTTCTGTTTCTTCAGGAACTTTTGGTCCGAAAATTCTTAATTTTGGAATTCTTAGTAAATGATAAGATACTCTCTCTTTCTTTAGGTTATTAGTTTTGTTATTATGATTATGCAAATATGGAATTTCCGCAACAATGTTCTTAGAAAAATTCGACCGCCAGGTTTGAAGCAAATCAATTGTGTAGTCAATTTACGTTTCTGAGGTGTGTGGGTAGCATGAAATATTCTGAAATTTCCGGGGACATTTTTTGGTCGACGTTGATATAATAGACACGGATTTTGGCTAGATCCTTCAAATTTACATGACCGTTTCTCAGAATGAAACTGAGACAATAAAATATATATTTTTGCAATTTGAATTCGATGTGAAAATAAATGAGATTATGATGTTAATTTAATTTTTTTGCCAATCAGTTGTTTATTCTGATGAGCAGCAAAAAATTAGAGAAAACAAAAGAAGTAAACTTTTCTCGAATTATAGGCATAAAGATTTGAGCAGATAAGGCTTGATGAATCATCGAGGATCATGAAAAATACTTCCCATCTCAGACAACTGCTCGTTGTAGTCGTTTGTATTTGTGTAGTCGTTTAGCTGGATAAGCACTAAGCAACAATGTTAATTTTAATTGTTGGTATTTTTGGTAGTTTTTTTGCTGACGTGTGGTTTTGTTCATTGGTGAAATGCTTTTATCTTGAATTCAGAGGCGTTGTTGTCGTTTGAGTTAGATGACCTTGACCGCGGACTAACTGACGCTGCAGTGACTCTAAAACAGAACTTTTTCAGTCAAAACAAGTGTCATATTTTTCAGTCAAATTTTCCTACTTTGTACATCCAGAATCAGAACTACAAAATCTACATTATGTTTGGCTAACTGGAAGCCCTTTTTTTTGCTTTTCTACAATAGTTCAGTTCGGAATGAGTTTGTTTGCAGTTAATGTATGAAACGAATCTGTGGCGTATGTTGACTTCTTCTGCGCTATTTCGAAAAATCTTTAACGACCCCGTGTGTGAATACCAATTTAAAGCCCCTTCAGCTGTGCTCCAGTTTCCAGGAAAAAAAACGTCAAAAAACGTTCGAATGCAGAAAAAAGGGTCTGATTAACTTTGACTTTTATACCAGCTTGACAAAAAGCGGATAAAACAAAGGTACTTTTCAAATCGCCGAGCTCAATTAGTTTGCTCGGAAGACCTAGCATAAACAGAAGGAGCAAAAATATAGCAAATTTTGCTATTTTTGGTCATGAACATTGTGGTCGGGATATGCCTTTCTAAGTGTTCAGCTGACATTTGATCTTTTTTCCCAACTTGCGAAAAGAGTGACTTGGAATCTATGTGTAGGTGATTTTTGTTCAGACCATTTTTACGAGTCAATGAACGTAGCTCAGACTCGTTTATAGGTCGTGATGATTTTTTGGTTTTTTTTTCAGGAAAAATTTTTTTTCATGCTCTAATAACAAAAGAAGTGCATTCATACTTTTTTTTGTTATTAGAGCATTTTTATTAGAGCACTGTTGATTTGAATTCAAGTTCATTTGCTAGAAGTCAGGCAAAAATTCACTCTCCAATTGTAAAAGCTGAAATGGCGCAAAAAAACCTGAACGATTTCGAAAATGGAATTAAACTTTTAGATTTTCCAGCAATCTAAAAGCATTTCCTAATAATCCAGTTATCTCAAATTGGGTTCATTTTATCAAAACAGTGCCAGTATTAATTTGTTCTTGAATTTGAAAGGCGCTTTCAGGCTGTATATTTTTTGTTTGAAATTTGAAAGCTGAAGCTTTTTTAAAGCCAGTCATTTTTTTTGCTGTGACAAAAATTGAGTAGTGTATGGAATTTTTAAGCGAGCAGTTAGCTTGCCTCAATTAGAATTCAATTTGGAACGATTTGTAATGCGGGATGATTCGCCACGCTTGAATAATGCGCGTAACACTTTCAGCATCGAACTATAAAATGAGCAGTGTAGCTTGACTCGAGTAAGATTAGTGTAGTGATGCGAGCTCCGTAGGGCCCTCGAAAATCCAAAAATCGATCCCTTCGAAATTTTCTTGAAAATTGAGCCTGAATAAAAAAAATCATTCCGAGCGTATATATTCTCCACTTTTTTCGAAAGTCGGAACAACAAGACAGATCGCATATTATAACAAACCCTGAATGATGCACAATAAGAGAATTGCAACATAATTCTTTAATATAAATGAGCATATGTTCCCAAAATGTTTTGCATCTGCTAACTAATATTGTCAATTTTTGACGACAATTAGTTTCTATTTGAACAAATATTTATTTAATTATTGCCGAAAAATGGCTTGGTCAAATTAATGACAGTGTACAAGTCCTTAACAAGACACTGAGTTTCTGCGGTCAACATTTCCAGCTCAACTGTAAGCTTCCGTTGCATTCCAAAAACGATAAACCAAGTATAAATGTATCGTAACTTGCGGTTGCAGAATTTTTGGTCCAAATTCCGAAAAAAAAGTTATACTTTTTAGGGCCAGAAAATTAAAACGAAATAAAATAAATGGAGACAAGTTTTTATCAATGAGAAGACTTTAATTCGCTTTTCTTTCAGAAATTAAATAACGAAATTTTTGGTGCAATATCACACTCGGCCTCCTACGAGCTGCTTTATTCATGTAATTATTTTTGGCTTGGAAACCGACCCTAATTCATAGTTCCTCCAACTCTCCAAGAAGCGTTGCAACCAAAAATCTAATCAATTAGCTTCTTTCAATGGCTTTCAAAAACGAACACAAGAACGGTTACGATTTAAGCTTCGTTATATTAGTTGACACGATCATCAAGTCGCCATTCGTTTTACCTTTGATATACTACAGTTCTGATTGAAATTAACCGGACACAACCAACAACATTGGAAAAATCAAACGTGTTTTTTTTTCTTCAATTTGGGTTAAGATTTAAAAAAGTGAATAGATCAAAAGTAGCTAAGAAATAAACCAGAATTATTATGGTGCAATTTTTTTCATAAAATTTCAGCCAAAGTTTTACCCGAAAATTAGGTCATTTTGGCTTTTATTAATTAATCAAGAATTACATTGAAACTACCAAGTTGATTGATGATAAAATTATATCAAGAGAAGAGTCTTACACAGCTCAAAAAAAGTTCTACAATAATAAAAGTTCCAAAAGTTTGTGTGAAACGTTTGAATTTGTTTTTAGCCAAATATTTTGATTTTTGTATAATAAAAATGACCTCCTATAGCTTTTTAATCGATGATACAGATTTTCGGAAAGTTCATTTTTCTCGAACTTCGTTAAGTTGTATTAGAAGCTTTTTGATTTAACTGCCTCATCGATTAACTTGGTAGTTTCAACGTAATTCTTGATTAACTGAAAAAGCCAAAATGACACATTTTCGGGGTAAGATTTTGGTTAAATATTTCGGAAAAAAATTGCACCATAAAAGTTCTGGTGAAAATTTAAACTGTTATTCTCTTCACTTTTTGTCTTAGTTTAACCTAATTTGTGTAAATTGCGTTTGAGATTTCGAATTTCGTTAGCTTTGTTCGGATAATTTAAATCAGCACTGTAAGTATACTAGGTGTTTGAGATTTCGAATTTCGTTAGCTTTGTTCGGATAATTTAAATCAGCACTGTAAGTATACTAGGTGTATCATCTGTAGTATATTTTAAGTCTAAAACATGCAACATGCTGATTACATTATAATCTGCAAGTTTATCAATTCACATTGGTTTTAAGCATGAAAAAAAATTGATTTTTATTTGAAATTGAAAATTTGGTCGAAATATTATGTGCCACTTGCACTGCAACCAGATACAAAAAAAATTATCTTAAAAATGTGCCTTCTAAGATGAGTTTTCAATTTGGAATACGGGTTCAAAAAGGTAATTTAAGAGAGCAGAGGAGCAGCTTAACGCTTTTGATTCGAGGTCCGCGACTTGTGCTGCAGCCATCGCAACTTAAATATCGCAAAATACTCCGGTAAATGTCCGACTGAGTTTTTGAAACGAGTTAGCGGACTAAAAAAATTTCAGCCAAGATTTGCGCAACGAAAAAAAAACATATCGGATGCGCTGGAAATCTAATTGGCTGAAAATTTGACTGCATTGGGCGGAGGATGTATTCTTGGTTCAACAACTGCAGAGAAAACGTCGAAACTGAGAAAAAATATTATTGTATTTGCTCGGTTGAACACTTAGAAAAAAATCAACCATTTGAGCAGAGAATAGAGCAATAAGCAATTTCTGTTCATACGCATCTCATGTTAAGGTGTAATTCTGTTCCCAAAAATCAAAACAATCTGTTGGTTCCTAACTTTTTGGTTTTGGGAGCAATCCGGGGCTCTTTTCCGAACCCCCTCCCTCCCCGTTTCAAAATTTCCGTTCTCAAAATTTCACATACTGTTGTGGCTGAAAGCGTGATTTTTTGCTGCAAAGATAGAAGAAATGTGTTCAGAATGGTTACTTTGTTCGCCATATTTAGTTTTTCAAAGTTGAATTTCAAATTTTAGGGGGGGGGGATGAAAATAGCCCCTATATCAAACTGAGTAGCATACTCCTGGTTGACATGTGACTCAAGCCCCAGAGGCCCGGGTTTGATTCCGGCTGGGGTCCTTTTTTGTTTTGAAAAGACTAGAAAATAATCCTACCACCTGTCGTAATCAAAAGTGTCCCGAGGGGGGAGCGACTTTTTTAAAAAGTTTTTTTTGTTGGTTATTTTTTTCAAAGTGCTCAAAACACCATTTCTGCGGCGCAAAATTTTTTGACAAAATAGGATCTTTTTAGTGTTTTTGGAGAGCTCGGAAAATTCAAACTGGTCGGCCTTACAAAAAAGGTCAACAAAATGTTCATATAGAAAACGCCATTGATTCACTGATTGTAAGTATATCACCAAAATTTACTTCTTTGTCTCGTGTCTGTATTAACCATATCAAAATTGTCTAATTTTATTTAAATTAGCTATGCTTTGATTTTCTCACAGCTCAGTAGCTTTAGCAGTCACGTGATTAGCTCTGGTTTAATTATAAATCAATCATCTGTTCACACCTTCGGTCTGCCTGGTCGAATGCCGCGTGTCTCGTCTGTTCGTCTCCCTGCAGAATGTACATGTTCACATTGCCGAAGTTCACCATTCCGCCGGGCGGTCCCTGCTGCTGTTGCTGTCTCGGCTAAACAAACAGTATGCTAAGTGGCTTCTTTGTTTTTATTGTTTTGAATTTGGTTTTATCTTAGAGTTTCGTTCAATTTTTGTAGCCAGTCTTGGAATTTTTTTTTGGCTTGAAATCTAAAATTTTTCGTTGGCTAAGTCGCTTATGAGTAATTGTTGTTCATTTTTGAAACTTACATCTATGTAGTCATCTGAGTTCCCGTATCCAGGGTATCCATATGGTACTAACTGAGTTTGATCTCCAGAAACAGACGGACTCATAAAATCCTGGCCTCCGGAATTACTACTGAAACTCGACAGAGGAAGTGAATCCACATCACTTCCTCTCTTCTTCCCAAAATTCGGAGTGTCACGTGACTTCACGCCAGAGGGGGGAGCTGATTGAAGGCCGGGTTTACTAAAATTTTTGGAGAGAAAAATATCATCTTCGTCAATTTCGTCGTCTGGCTCTCGGACCAGTGGTCGCACAGGTTTGCGGATCGGACTTTTGGCAGTCTGTTTTGGCTCGGTTGTATTCGGGACTCCTCGGTATCCGATCGTAGGTGTTCTCGGCTTCGTGGCCTCTGGCGATTTACGAGAGTCTCTTGCTGGCCTTGAAACTCCGTTAGTCGATGGAAGGTTTGTTGGTCGTCTTATATTTGGAGAAAAGTCACTTCGAAAACTATCAGGGTCACTGTCTTTGTCCAGTTTATGATCATACCTAGTAACTGTATCGCGTGGTGTTGTAGGAATTACTCTTGGTCGTTGCGGCTTTTTAGTTTCCGGATTTGTTGAATAATCGTCCTTTGGTTGGTTGAATGAAGAACTAGGATATCTTCTAGCAGGACTTGGCGAAGACCCGTACCTAGAAGGAGTCTCAGAAGCCAAAGATGAAAGATTGGTTCTCCCTACTGGTGTTCTGGATCTACTGTTTGAAGTTACCCTTGGACCCAAATCTGTCGCTATTGGATTCTTGAACGTCGGTCTGTTCGCTTTTGAATTGACTGGCGAATCGAAAAACGGTATCTCATTCGCGGCAGATTGTAGTTTTTGTTGATTTGGGAACTCAGCAACACATTCGTCGTCTGAAAACAGTTTGGGATCTTTTCTTGCCGAGCTTTTCAAGCTACTCTTAGGAGTGCGCATTAGCAAAGAGTCTAAATTTGACTTCTTAGCTGGCGATCGCGATCGACTTGAGCTGGTCGTTTGTCTTTGTTTATCTGCTTCTCTAGCTTTTTTCTGTTTTTCAAGACGATTCTGTGTTTTCTCCCACCATTTAGCAGCAACTGTTGCTGCTAGTTCGAGTTCTCTCAGTGTGGTTGGGTTAGGCGCGCCCCATTGATCCAAAGAATCCGGCCCGTTAAAAAGTGAGCTCGGGTTTCCCGACTCAAGGGCTTTACCGTCCGTCATTTCTGTCATAATTTCATCCTCGTCATCACAAGTAGTTGGATATTTCGACTTTTTGTTTCTCACCGACGGCGCGAATCCAATATTTTTGTCTCCTGTTTTGTTTCCTGAACGAGTTTGAGACTCTTTTGGGTTCCTTCCAGTCTTTCTAGAATCATTTGGATCGTCAACTAATAAAGTTTTGATTCTGAGATCAGATTTTGGCGCTGGTTGATCACGCTTGGCTTTAAGGGACTTCAAATAATCGTCTTTCATTTTCTGTCTCTTTTTCGCCTCGAATCTATTTAAAGCATCTTCGACTAGTTGTTCCCGTGAAGGCTGTTCAGTCGCATCGCTGGGCGGTGGATATTTTTCCATTATTTGTAATACGTCTATTGGCGTCTGGTTCCTGGGGAACTGTTTTCCATTCATAGGCGTTGCGAGGGTAGCTCCTGGAACTACCCATCCGGGCGGTAAGAAATTTTGACCACCTGGAGGAACAACAAAAATTTGTGAACCCGGAGGAATTGACTCAGAAGTCAAATTAGGAATCGAAGCCAAAGAATCATTGAACTTATTGGTTCCAATTTGAGTTCTGGGCAGCGAATTTGTTGAGCGCTGTGGAATTTCTGATTCAAGTGGATTCGTCGTAACTTTCAGTCCATTCAGTTTGCCGAACTCAGTATCTGATTTCGGACTTTGTTTTTCTGCAGACCTTGACCTATGACTTTCGGGCGGAAGTTTGGATCCGTTTTTGATTTGATAGCCAGTAAAGAAAGGGATATAGGGCAGACCTCGGTCTGGAAAGTAAAGCGGTTGCGAGTTGCCACATTTTTGACACTGGAATAGACAGGGTAAATTGTAGCCTGCCCAGTGATTAGGAAGATGGTTAATGTTAACTGGAGGTGGGGGAGGTGGGGGGACCTTCAAGTTGCGAACTTCTTTCAGGAGCGCGTCAATTTCGTCGTCCGAGTCGTTTCGGTTCCCGATTGACGAGGTCGGGCTAATTGATCTTCGGGAGTATGAGCGGGAAACAGAACGGTAGTTCCGTGAGGCGCTGGTAGAATGTCTGGAGACCCGCGAGCCTGTCGGAGTCCGAGATCTAGACTGGCGCGATATAGACGGAGAGTAAAGACTTCTGGATCTCATCGGAACTCCGAGCGACGAAGCTGCTCGTTGGGAGAGGCTTGTGGTTCTCGGGTTCAGGAACGAACTGCTCATTGCCGAAACCGGTCGAGCCGAGACGAGGTAGTCATGCCAGTGTTTGGAGCAATATTGAACTGGAACAGGTTTAGATAAGGGCCGATTGTGTTTGTACATAGATGCGAAGTCACGTAATTTTTCAAATTCTAAACTCAAGTCGGTTTTTGAAAATTTTGTACAACTTTTGTCCGTTTCGGTCGGTTTGTTACCACTGTCTGAAGAATGCGTTGAATTGTGATTCTCAGTTATTTGCCGGCCCTCCTTTAAACAAAAACAAAGCTTGAGCTTTCTGTTGCTCTACTGTGAAAACTGTTTGATTGCCAATTAAGAAAGATTGTGAATGTAACTTCACAAGCGTTGTACGTTTGATGTTAAATTTTTTACAGCTGGCTTTTGAACGCTCTTTTGAACACTTTAACGTGAGTTAAGTTTGTTTTGCCTTTTGTCAATGCACAATTACGTGGCTTAACTGGCATATGAAGTACTAAAGAACATCAAACCATAAGATACCTTTTCTAGCATTTGATGATAAAAAAGTATAGTTTTTTATATTTATTTTTCAATCTGAAAGAAACTTATAACTCATATAAGTTATAAAATGTAATCATGCAGCGCTAATTGAATAGAATTCTAAAATATAGAATAAATATAACAAATCTTCAGAGAAAGATTAAAGATAGAATAAAAAAGATTAGTGAGCTTTTTTGCAAAATTTTTCGAACAAATTTTTTTAACCAATTGATGCACAACAAGATCGACTTGCGCTCCGATAAGCGACAAAAAGTACATGCATTACGGAAGGAGTTTTTTTGTTTCGAAGTGATTTTGCTTTTGATTGAAGTCTTAGCAAGTCTTAGCCGCCTCGATGTGCACAAGTTCTTTTGACTTTCAAAACAATCATAGTAAAATGGTTTCGAGCTGTGCAAAATGTGTAGAATTCGTCAACAATAGAGCATCAACGTGAGCAAGCGCAGAAAGCAATTCAACTTTTTGAAATGCCGCTTAGAACTTACAATTAAGTATTATTGTTCCGACTTTTGAAGTAAACGGAATATTTATGCTCGGTGTGGTTCTTTTTTATTCAGTCAATTTTCGCCGACCGAAATATTAGTTTCCGACAAAAAATTTTTATACCCCATAGAAGATATTGACTTCCTGAGTTCAAAATCCAAAATATATTTTACCTTCGATTATTTTTTGTAAGAAAAACCTGGGGGTTTGAAAATTGCCAAATTGGCCATGTTCCAGACTAAGTTATATGCGCTTTAAAATTATATTATATGCGTAACGCGAATTATTTATGCGTGGCGAATTATCCCGCTCAAAAAAGCTGTTCCAAATTGAATTGAGGCTAGCTAATCAGATTGGTCGTATTAATTTCGTACAACTCAAATTTTCGCTTTTTGATATTGTCCAAAACTTATAGGTGTTCAATATTTGATTTTCCCAAAACTATTCGATATGAATTAAGTGACAGTCGAAACATTCAAGGTTTTTTAGGATTAACCAAACTGGCTATTTGTGGATTTCAAAATTATATATTTTCCGGGATAAATAGTACATAGGTCAAATTACAAATTCTAAATAAAACAAGACTGCTCGTAAGTCTTGTCTTATTTAGAATTTGTAATTTGATTAATGTACTATTTATCCCGGAAAAATTTATAATTTCAAAATCCACAAATAGCCAATTTGGTTAATCCTAAAAAAACAAATGACAAGTTGAATGAGTAAATAATTCTGAAAAACAGTTCTCAATCAATTTTCAAGCTATGTTGGCAAAAAAAATGGTTTTTTGTTTGTTTTTTCTTCTTCATTTTTTTAAGATGAATGATGTTGATAATGCTTAATTCACTTATTTTCTATAAGATCCTTCAAATCTCAAATCATACTACGCTTTAAAACGACATAAATTTGAAGAAACGCGATAAAAAATTTCACAGCAACTGGCTATCCATGTTTTTATAGAGTATTGGTGTTTGTTCCTTCGCAAATGCCGGTAAGGAAAATAGTTTTTGCGAGAATTTATTAGAATTTTATTATAATTTGACAAATAAAGCATGTTATTGATCGGAATAATTTTTCAATTAAGCAACAATAATTGTAATAATTGTGATTGTTGCTGAATTTAATAATTAGGCAACAAAAGTTCTGATAAGGATGGCGGTAGGCTTCCTTCCGTTAACCCATTTTTGACCAAAACGACCCTAAAATATTCCGAAGTCGTCTTAAACGCCCATATTTACTAATTTTGAGGTGAGAGAACCTGCCAAAAAACGAGATTTTTAAATCAAAAAATTCTAAAAAGTGCTGAAAAACATCGTTTTTGACTATTTTGGCCCGTTTCGAACTCGCCTGGGGCGCCGATTTTTTTTCAGGGACTCTCTGGTAGAGCTCTCTGGGAGATCTCGGAAAAAATACGGTTGACATAATGAAAAGGTCAGCCAAATTTTGCAATGCTAGCCACACCATTTTGATAATGAAATATGGCTAGTAACAAAAGCTTTTGATTCCAAATTTTAATAAGTGTCGGGTATAACTACTTGTTTGACTCAACTAATCTCATAATTTTTCTATGTGACATGATGGGTAAAAAAAGATTGCCTCAGAAAAAAATTTGATTCCATCCTTACTTCGGTCGCAAATCCTCACTTGAGACAAGGGTATGGGCAAAATTTTGGGGAGAGGCAGAGATGGCTGATGCCCCCCCCCTCTTTCAGGGATCAATGGGCAGGGGCGGATTTAAAGAGGCGGACGCCCCATCCCCTCCCCCTCCCTCCCCTTTTCTGGGATTCGACCCCCTGCCAATCCAAAGGGTCCCCCTTTGTACTATTTTCCAATATCCAGTTTTGGTGATAAACCCTAAAACCTAAAAATTATTCAAAGGCGCTTTCGGTGCCAATATATATTAAATTTGAGGGGGGAGCGCGCGCCGAAAAAACGCAATATTTTGGTCAACAGTTTTTCCAAAATAGGGAAAACTGCTTTGGGAGAGCTCGAAAAATCAATTTGGTCGACCCAGAAAAAAGGTCGACGAAATTTTCGAAATTTTTTTGAAAATCCGCCCCCTCTAGAAAATCCTATATCCGACCCTGGGTCAAATCCAATTTCGAATTGTTCCTCGAGCACGCTCAAACAATGGTCAAATACCGTCAAGTATGATCAAAACATATCCCAAAGTTGTGTCAAAACATGCTTGTTTTTTTAAATAGTTTTTGTTTTTTCAAAGTTGTTAACTAAAATGCACAACTAGTTTTCGAAAAAGTTCTTTATTGTGCCTTTAGTTTTTGTACTCTAAAGTTGAAACTTTGAGCAAAGTTGATAGTCGAAAATTGATGGGTTTCAGTTGGATGTCCATAAAGTTTGAGATCTATAAGGATTCCTGCTGTAACTCGAACTAAATGTAATGGAGTTTTCACAAAACTTCTCTACCGCAATTATAATCACATTACAGATGACTCCGTAATTTCATTTTCATCAACAGTGTTTTTGTCATCAAAAAGGACCCTGGATTTTTACCTGAAACTCATAAACTCTGATGAAAATTTCGTAAATTAGCGGCCGAGACATGCCTCGATCTCAGTCAAAACATACATCGAGCACGGTTGAAACATCCTCAGATTTGGCTGACCACTGTCGAAATATATCTTGAGCAGGGTCAAAACATGGCGGTTAATCGACTAGCACAAAAATATCAAAACTGAAAATCGTATGGACTAGCATTGGCGGAATATGACCTCTCTCGATTCTTTTGAGAACATTTTTTTGAAATTTTTCGTGTTTTTTCAGTGATAAAATAACAGTCCAAATTGAAGGGTGCATTCGGCCAAACTCTTTGTTCCAAGTAGAAAGCCAGTTCTCACATACGTTAGTTGCTCGCAAATTTTGTGGTCTATTATAAACGTTCCACTTTGAAATACTAATTTTTTCGAACCAAAACTTTTCGAGACAGTCAAAAATTGAATCAAATCTTGGATAAGTTTGCGAAAATCGACGGGCGTTAAGGCTATAACGCAGTTGGACTTTTTTTCCAGCTGGATATATGCGGTTTCGAAATCTGATATGACCATTTTTGGCAAAAATATTTTTTCAAGAATTTCATGAATTTTTTGACAGAGTGTCAACAGTACGTAGTCATAATGCAAATGAGATTTTTCGGAGAGTAACGCAAAATCTTGCGGATTTTTTGGGCGAGACAACCAAAAAACGTAAATTTGCTGACAAGGCCGAGGTGTCATTTTGAAGGTGCAATCGCGAAGAATACTTTGGGACTGTTGGAGATTACGCAAAGATTTTTCAGTTGCAAAAATTGCACAACCCGGCAAAAAGCTGATGACCAGTAAAAAAAAGCTGACTATCTATATTTTTTCTCCAAAAACCTTTGATGTTAACTTCGGATACATATTTTAGAATCGGAGGTAAAACTTTCTTCCGTTTTCTTATAAGTGAGCATCTAGTTCGATGATATTCTGGTAGAATGATATCCTGTAAATCAGACATAAAATTTTCGAATTACCTCGTCCTAAGTTTTTTGAATTGGTTAGTCGGTTTTTTTTTCAATTTGGTCAAAATCGTTCTTCGTTCATATCTTCAAAATTTGCATAATGGGTGTGTTTATTATTATTTTTTTTAAATTAGTAATTTGCAAGTTTGTAATAAGTGGACATTTGCAAGCTGGTTCCACACAAACAAAGTATTGGGCTTTTTTTAACTGTTATTTTTAAACCTGTAGCCATGAACAACTAAGTTAGTCCCGCCTCTTATTTTTGATGGAACAATGATGAATTTGCGCGTATTAAACTTATAATTAAGATTGTATATTAAGCGTATAAATAGGACTGTATATATTCTCAAATAGGACTCAAACTGCTATATTATGATACAGTTCATTCAAATTTCGATCGCCAAAAATTACGCTTTCATTTAATTTTTTGTCGTTACACTTAGTAAATGGAAAGAAAGCAGAAACCTTGCATTCGATATTTGATCATCAAGCCCGCATGGTCTAGTTGTTAACGCGTTTGACTCGAATGGTTGTAGGTTAATTCCGTGTAGGTGCGAATCCAGCTGTCTACCTTCTATTTTTGAGAATTATGGTTTTAAAAATACGTTAGTCGATACATTTTCATGTTTTCAATTTTTTATGCTAGTCTAGTCGAGCTTTATGCTTGTCGAATGATCACCCAAAACATGTCCAAGTTCGGTCGAGCACGGTCGTAGCAAACTTCGAGCAACGTCAAAACGTACCTCGAGCGCGTTCAAAACAATCCTGAATTTGAAAACTTTGCTTGTAAGCAATGCCATTTGCGGGCAATCTCATTTGCTTCCAATTCTGTTCAAAACTCTTGATTGTTATTTCAACAAATTGGTAGATAAAAATTTTGTTTGAAACCCAAAGAATGAATCGAATTTTGTAAATTAAGTTTTGTTTTTCATAGCATATTTGCAGTCTTTTTTTCCGTGGTCGGAACCTCAATGTGCCTTTCGCTCAGCAAGCCCTTGTTTCGAGTCAATTTGTTGAACAAAAAATCCGCAAATGAGCGGGGTAATTGTTATATAAATTTATCACCCTTCGCTCAATTTTTTTATTGTTTGCTGTTTTCATTTGCACATTTTTTTTCGGGCGAGAAATGGAAAATCAAAACGTGCCCCGTTTCGGTCGAGATGGTCCAAATAAAAAATTGAGCTCCTCGGCCTGTGTATTTAACCTTTCTATTATGGAACTTCATGAAGTTGCTACATGAATCTGGAAAAGACCAATTTTCTGAATATAAACTGACTTGATTTTGCTCCTCTTTTATTTCTAGTACTTTATCTTCTGCAGAACCATCAGATGTTGTTGTTTTTTCTCTCGTCAGAAGCAGTTCGTTGACTTGTCTCCACATGTGACCAATGTGTTTGATCACGTGCACTATGGATTTTTGCTCAGTCCTGAATTCTGATTGGCTCCCGATTGAGACACTGAGTGAGGCTGCCAGTCGCCGTAGAGTCTCAATTTGAACCGCTTTCTTGTTTAACTCGTGTTCCATAGTCTGAAAAAAGGGATCTCTATAATTAATCTTCCCCTTCCCCATGATATTAGTGTATAACAACCAAATCTATAAAGTAAAGGACTACTTCAACCGGGTTAACCGGGGTCGAAGTCGACTTCTGTTTCGACTTTGAAAGTCAACTATGTGCAGTTTTTCGACTGAAATTCCGCGGTTGAAGCAATTTTAAGTCGAGCACCAAGTCGAAACATACCCGATTTTGGCCGAGAGAGTCGAAACATGACCGCTTTTGGTCGAGAAAGTCGAAACATATGTCGAGCACAGTCAAAACATAGGTTGAGCACAACAAAATTTTCTCAAAATTTTAATTGTTTTTTTTTCAGGACTGATCAAATTTAAATTGGAAATTGAGAAGAAAATTGCTCAGAAAAGACCTCCGTCAGAAAGTTGTAACACGTAACAATCAATTGAGCAAAACTAGAAGTTTTAGAGGGAACCCTTATAAGCATCTGCCAAATTTGAGCTACAGTAATGGTTCATTCAACACTTTATATTTTAAAGTTCTTGTGTAAACAGGGCTGATTGTAAAAGCTAACTACTTTTTTTTCGGCGATGATTTTAATTTTAACTGCGTGATGTAAAATTGCATGACCGAGTATGTAAAAGACGTTAACTGACAATAAACGTTTTTTTACTGAGTGTTACGACAAAAAATCTGACATATTGAACAAAACGGATGCCTGACATGACATTTTACACCAAGAATGTGAATCATTGAAAAATTTTAACCGAAATTTGTTAAATAGTATAGGACAAGAACAGTTTTTCATTATGCTCCCACGAACAAGAAGAAGTAAAAATTTGTGTTCTTTTTTTCAAATCTCTAGAAATTGCCATAACCTCTTTGAATTTGTTTTATCTGATAATGACAGTACAATTGTTTGAGCACATCAGATTGGCTTATTATACTCAAAGCCAGGTTTCTCCATCTCTGGGCAACGACAGTAGAGCTCTGCTAGTTGCAGAATTTGAAGAATTAACAGAGTCTGGCATAAATCACGCGTCGAGCTTTGCACTTTTTTCAGATTTAGAAAATGGCTGCCGAAGTCATTTCCGTTAACAAAAACTAATAAACTGGTCAGGTTTTGATAGTCTAGCACAATCTCTGAAAAAATTGAATTTTGGTCGCGATAGTCTAAAAGTTAGCTTTTAGAGCAAAACTCTAAATGAGCTGCAAAAGGTTCAAAATTTGACTAATGCAACAGAAATGCGAACGTTTAAAAAAAAGAATGCCAAAGAACGTTTAAAAAAGAGTGGCAAAAAAGAATGCCGGAAAAGAAAAATTTCTCCAGATTGGATGGACTTAACAGCATTCGTTTTTCTAATAACTCAGTTTGTTTTCAACTTTCTAATGTATTTGACTTAGTTCGTGTTTGCCGGAGATTTAGTTTAAAAATTTTAGTAGCAAAAATTTTGAATTCCAATATATATGAGAAGTTTGTTTGCCTAGCTTAAAGCCAAAAGCAAATACAGTAGTGGTCTTGCGTTCTCTTGCTGGTGGCTTACTTTTTAAATGTCTCCAGTTTGCATAAAACCTTGTTTTGAGATTAATTTCGGATTCGGAGAAACTTTCTCGTTTTCGAAAATCTTAACTTCAGTTCTCTGGCTCTGAACTAACCGTTGCACGTTCATTGTTCCGACCATTGAAAATCGAGGGGAACTTTGTAATCCGGTGTTTCATTTTTTTCAACTTTTTGTTTTCAAGAGATTTGTTATGTGGATCTATCGAGATCGATGTTAGTGATAAGTTACCAAGAAATTAGTTGGTACTTATATTTTTAATCAGTGGGAAAACTATACATAAAACAAGATATGACATAAAGGATAAACATTTTTTTTGTTCACATATTCCATTTGTGGTAACTTATTACCCAAAATACATTCGACATATAGAGCGTAGCATTCATGGATAGGGTTGATTAATATCACGAGAATCTATCATAATTGATAAATTTTGACAGTGGGCTAAACTCAACAGCTAACAAAGAGACAACGAAAATCTAGAATCGTTTGTCAACCAACTTAATACGCTTCAACAGATCAGGTAAGTTTATATATTCACTTTCTATAGGTTTCACACTAAGAAATTTGTTTTCATTGATTTCTCAGATCATCAAATCCTCACACCTTTTCTAAGCAGATCTGTTGGAATAGGATTTCCGTAGTGCTTCGTTGGTTACCGGAATCTTGAAGATCATTTAGGTTCGTCTGAGAATGATTCAGATTGATTGTCTGGAGTTGATGAAGGTTTTCTTCGGATTCAAGTTGCAGTGGAGTTTCATCATTGACAATTTCACTCAATCCATCTTTGGTATTGTAAGTTGACTGTTTTTGAACGATTGGGTTGGATCCAGTCTGTTTTGGTTTCATATCGTTTATTAAAAATTGAATATGATTAGAGCAGTTCTATCATTGGTCGGGAATGCTTCGATCCAGTCACTTTCTGCGTCAAAAACACTCCAATATGTTTACTTGCTGTATGATGTATCCAGCCCGTATAGATTCGTTGCCATACACCTGATTGTTGTCTGTTCTTTTGACATATTTCATACTTTTAGACAAGTTTTTCCACGTCATGTGAGCGATGGTCTGTTCTTCTGACAGATCGCGTTATTGTAGACAAGTCTTTCCACGTCTTGTGACAAGTCAAGCCATCAAGCAACCATTCTTAAAGCAGTTACTGTTGCCTGGCTTCCTGTATGCGTGTTGTGGGCATCAACATAACTTTTCTTCCAAATCTCGGCGGTATGAAAGGTACAACACCTCTGTAGGTTACATCTTCTCGTGCTGTCAGTGTTTCAGCTTCCTTTTTGCTCTGAGTATTGTCTCCAACCACCGTTTGGTATGACAGAGCTTGAAAACGTCTTGAAGTGTTCGACTTGATTGGAATTTAAAAGTCGTTCAGATTGATTGTCGTCGTGTGTGCGAAAAAGACGTCATTCTTAAAGAAACAGATATTCTCCTCATCTGGTTTCTCGTCGTCGATGCTGTTTTTGGTATCTTTTCAACTGGTGCAAATAGGTACAGCAAGATATTGTGATATGTTTAAAGAGTGAACGTGCGTCCTAGTAGCAAATGTTTCAGTCGTGTCACAAAAACACCACTGCAAAAGTTTCTCGTTCTCTCGATTAGTTGCGCTCAGTTGATGATAATTTCCTTGAAACGTAGATCACTGGATGTCTTTCTTGTGAGAGAAGCCCGCCAGCTGCCTGCTCTGAAGAATCGGTCACAGTCACTTCTTTGTCCAGAAAATAGTTTCGCACTACTGGTTTTGAGCAGAGTTCTTGTTTAATAGTCAGAAAGCATAGATTGTGATGGTCTGCCTCTTCGAAGTCTTGACTCTGTAAGTCATTGAGTGGGAGATTCTTGGTGGCAAATTTCGGAATCATTTCTCCATAGAAGTTTACTCGTCCAAAAAACGATTGAAGTTCTTTGTGGCTCACGGGTATCTTGAAGCTCGCGTGATGTTCCGCAGACAAATAGAGGCCGTCTTGAAAGATAACAACGCCTTTGATTCTTTTGATTGTGTTCACGATGCAATTTTGAAATTGAGGAACAGCTCTTCAACCCCGAGATAATCGACGCATCTTGAACCGCCCCTGTTTTGTATTGAATGCGCACACTTCTTTTTCTTCATCATCAATTTTGATTTAGTTGTAGGCGTCCGAGAGGTCAATTTGTATCAAAACTTTGGCTCCATGCAAAGTGTGGAAAAAAGAGTCTATGTCGGGTAGTGGTTAGTCTTCTTCGATTGCTGCGCCCTTGAGGTGAACTGTGTAGTCGGCGCAAAGTCTGAGGTCACCATGTATCTCTCTCTGCCGCACTACTGGTGACGCATTGATAACTCCTCTGGGCTGCGCTGATTCGAGAACTCCCCGTATGAACATGTCCTGCAGTTTTGCTGTTACTGCTTTTTGCATCTGACCAGTTGCATCTAGAGTGTGTCTGCCCAGCTTTTCCCATATGCTCGACGATATCACTGCTATATATGCACCTGCGTCCTGTTTCATTTTAACTGCAGTGTTATCAATCACACCACTTTCTCGTGCGGCTGTCTTGTCGGCGAGACTTGATTCCCAACATCATGATGGTTTACTCTCTTATTAAATCTTTTATTATGCGTGTTATTGTTGCTTAACTTTTTTAAATCAATTTAATGCAAGGTGTCCTGTTTTACACATAAGTGACATTTTTTACCCGTTGGGGGACAAGAACTATCCACGTGCGGTTTTCCCCTCAGCTTGAAAAATCCAATTTTTTTACCTTTTATTTTTTTTTCCTGGTTTCTGAAGGTTGAACTAGCCTTTTATGCAATTTCTTTTATAATGTTGACCTTAGAGTTTGGAGCAAAATAATGTATAAACTATAAAAAGAATTCGCTCATCAGTTAGCTCATCAGTTTGCTCATCTGTTTTAGCTCTAATTACCTCAAGCATTTTAAACGCTACTTGCCTCTACTTCATTCAAAAATTTAGGGTCTGCTGACCTTAGTTCCGAGATAAACTTCATTTGTATGAACTTCATTCGTTCTAAAAACTTACAAAACCGAGCAGTTTCACGAAGTCTTTCGAGAAAGGCCTAGTCAGATGCTTGTTAATTCTGAACTGTCGGTAAAAACTTGGCTCGTGGATCTTTTCTCATGTTCTCTGGGTCTGAGATACTCTAATACCTGAATATGGATCTCGCTAAGTTTTATTAGCAAAACATTACTTGTCAACACTATTTTTGCTTGTACTTCAATTTGGATTAGGAAGCAAATTGTCCTTTGAAGGTATGCGGGATTCAATTAAAATTATTGAAAAAACTTGTTTTTTATCCGCTTTAAATGATCTAGATCTGCCTATCTGCTTTAAACGAAAAAAATAAAAATGAACAATTTTTTTGATTTTCTTGATTTGTAACCTCCTTGGTGGATTTTAAAATTGTCTTTATATGCTAACCTTCAGCTCTTGATTTCCCGTGGAGTTTCTAATTTTAGTCTCTGCTTCCTCCATCCATCCAATCATCTGCTGTCCTTTTTCAGCCAATAGGAGCACATCGTTGCTCACATCTGTCGAGAGTTTGGTGGGAACGTGAAGAAATTCCATTTTAGGATTGCATTTCACGCACGCTGACTTCTGTTTATCACAATCAGTTGCCGAATTGAGACTCTGGCTCTAAATTTCAGAGAAGAATTTTGAGAGTGGAAAAGAGACCTGGATTAATTAACTTGCTCGAGTAAGGTGGCCGACAATTCATTATACCGGCAATTAAGACTACAAAAATGCTCCCATGCAGAAATGGATTTTCAAAGAGGTGGTAAAACTGTATTTCATTTTGATAGACGCTTGTTTTTCTGATGCGTTTTTTTTGTACACCAATAAGCAAAAAATTTGAGGGGGCGCCAAAAAAACGCAGGTTCATAGTTTCTAGTCGAAATGCTACCTAAATTGGCACTGTTAGCCTCTTTCTTTCGAAAAACTCGCCCGTGGCCCAAAATTTTGTTAACCTCGAAAAATTTAAGAAAATTTTCATTTTTTGTTCAAGGACGCCTTTAGTGAATACTAAGTTGTTTGTTTTTTTTTCGCTAGAAAATGCGATGTTTTGGTCAAAATCTTTTTGAATTTTCGGGAGAGCTTACAAAAGCAATTTGTTCGACCTAAAAAATGTATGTGATTTATGTAAAATTTGGTTTGATTCAACTTCCCATGTATAATCAAAATGAAATAAAAGATATTTCAGATATCCAGGACACTATAAAAACCCTACTTTAAATTATGCTATTTGTCAATTTTCAGCGTAAAGAGTAAGTCAAGAGTATGTCAATTTTCAGCGTGACATAAAGAGTAAGTCAAGCTCACCAGCTTCCCAAAGAACTAACATGAGCCCAAAGTTTCAAATTACCCACATTGTTTGGGAGTTGTTTCCACAGCAAGAACATCTCTAAACTAGATATACTGGCTAATTTACGCCTTCGAAACAAGATTTCTCAAAATTTGGCCCGCTAAGTCCTTCTATCATAGTTTTACTTAGCAGTTGGCAAAATTTGACCACTATATCTTAAATAGCTGCAAAGGAAATGACAAAAACCTGAAGAAAAAATTGTTCATTTTGCTCGCTGAAATCAAAAAATTCAACACTCAATTGAACTCCTTTGTCCCGTGATTGTATATGATCCATTAGATATCGAATAAAGTTTTTTTATGCGCACAACCAATAAAACAGTTTGTACCTGTTGGTCGATATCTTCAATCATTGACAGTTTCTCTGAAACTTCATTTATTCTGGGCAAAGCAGTCGGTCTCGTTTTCCCATCCAGATGACTGGCATGATCTGAAATGATGCTAAGCTAATCGCAAAGTCCTCATTAAATATGAGAATTTATTAGTTTTTTGGCTAAGTTGATACATCTGGCATGCTGTATTGAACTTTTGGCCTGTTAGCTGTATGGGTTGTAGGCTTGTTGGTCAAATTTGTTGGCTGTATTGGCTTGTTGGTCAAAATAGCGTATCCTGCAACTGCATAGACAGAATTCATCAAAAATTAACCGTCATGAAATTTTCAGATATTCCAAAATAATTTCAATACCCAAGTTTCAATTTTGCGTTTTGATAAACTATAGCTTTATTAGTTATTATTGGGAAGAAAAAACTGCAGTTATAGAAATATTATATAGGATTCGAAAAGCTTTTGTGTGATTTATTGCAAAAATATGGAAAGAAGCTCGATAAATAAGTGCCATTCAGCTATTTTGCAACAGAGTTTTGGAACTTAGGACTACCAAACGAAGGCTCAAAGTATAATGCTACGATTTCTCTCGACCACCCGAAATAAAAAACGGTGCTCGTGCAATCATAGCTTTGTAGGATTGCAGTTAAAAATTAAATGCATAAAATTTTTCGTGGTGTCTTTTACTCTAGAAATTTGTGATGTGTGTGGTTTTTTTCAGGCAAATTTCCTCTTTTTACTTGTTACTTAGCAGAAATTTTTATACCATCCGGCAGATATTAGTGCCCAGAGCTACTATTAAATGATATGAGACCGATTTTCTTTAATTATGGATGTTGAAAAATGGTAAATTTTGCCAATTTAGGACAATCAATGTGCTTCAAAGTACTAGTATTATGTGAACTGGTTTATCGGACGAAGACATTTTGTTTATCTTACTTAAATGTTCCGTTTTTGACGAAAAATGACAGATTACTAACGAACTTTTAGCACCCAAAATTTGTTTCATTGGATTAAACGATAGATTTAACTTTGAAGGGCAGTTGTAACACTCAACGTTTTGTCGTGCTACTAGCAGCTTGCGTTTGGTATTTTGGAAAATCGGTGTAAAGTTATTTGCTAAATAACTATACTGCTCGTATATCAGAGCAAAGTTTTGTTTGTTCTGACTTCCCCTTAACCGATATCAAAATAGTGAAACATCATAATTTTTCGATAAAATCAAACATCAAATACGTAAACTAGAGTCCTAATTAATTAAAACGACCCATTAGTTTGTCTATTTTCAATTTGGAACCATTTTGTAGCGCGGAAGATGTTTCGTGCGGTGATTACGGCTTCCAGCATCATACAAAATCTTTCAAAGCGCGAATAAAATAAATCTGATTATGGGTAAATGGCTTAATTTTAAAACATTACAAAAAACTGCTGGTAAAAAAAATACCTTTTAAAGTTGAACCTATTTTTTCGATCGCAAAAATTTTACAAAATCAATCTAACAAAAATATTTCAGAAGTATTTACCAAAGTTGTTCAGTTATAAAATCAAAATTTGTCTGGAGAACGAACAAGCCCCGAGCATATTTAATTTTGGAAGTCGAAACAATAAACTGTGGAAATTAGTATTTTTTCTAATTATGCTCAGGTGTTCAATTAAAAAACAAAATAAGAAACTAGAAACTTAATTTCTAACACAAGCGATTCCTTTCTTTTTGAATACAAACAACTTATTTCATCACACAATCACTTCCTCCCATTTTTTGTATTGGTATTTTAAAATTGCTAAATTTAGAAGCCATTTAAAAAAATTCAACACGGTTTCAATCCTAAAAAAAATTAAATTCTAAGGAGACTTAAAGTTAAAATCAAAAACTTAAAGCCATTCATTTGCAGAAAATTGGGCGCTATTTGAAGCGCGTAATGTTTTAATAGAACTGATCTGTGATTATTCCAACAAGACACGAGCACTCTTTCAGTAAACCTCGAAAGCCCCTCAGTTATTCAAACATTCTTTGATCAAAGTTGGTTCAATTTTGTAGACATTTTGAGCCAATGCAAAAACTTTTTAAAAATACAACGCCAAAAAAATAAAAATCAATCGAAACCAATGTTCTGCTTGCCTTAAATTTTGATAATTTTTTGTATTTTTTCGAATTGTCGGCACAAAAACGCAAAATCACTCTCTGGTCCAATCATAGTACCCTAACGTAACGGCGAAGGTTCTGGGATTGTTATTCTTTTGCTAGGTGCAAGAGTCAAAGTAAAGCGTTAAGTCGGTTTTTTGAAGCCTGCATGGAGACTGTTTTAACAAATAGTACAAAATAAGTGGAATTGGAGTTTGAACTTCAACATAAGAAAAAATTTAAACAAAAATGACACATAGCTTACACTTGTGTTACATACAGATAAAGCTGTAAAAAAGTACATTTATCGTTGTCTTTGTCGGCATTCATAAAATCTTGAGCTTTTTCTTTTAAAGTGTGGTTCCTCTTCTATGGCAACTGGATGCTTTTTAGATAAAATATCATTTTGTATGGTACTATTTAAAATGGTACCCGCTACCTTCCATCGATTAAGATGAGCTCCCTTGGAAATCGATTGAATGCAATTTGGCATTCTTTGAAACTATTTGTTTTCTTAGCAAGCTTACTCACGGACTCAAAAAGTAGAGCCATGATAAAGGCTCATCTTGTCCGTTTTTTCCATTTTTCGGGCTTTAAGCATTTTCTATAGAAAACATCCTAGTTTTTACTGATCATTTCACAAGATAATCCTATCTTTTTTTTGGATTTCAAAGAAAGGCAACGTTTTCAAGTCTAATGCAAAATCGTCATTTGTTTTTCAGGTTAATTTGAGGCCCAGTATGTTAATTTTTCTCTTGTAACTCAAAAACACATAAATGCGCTCTTTTGAGGTTTTGATTGACTGAAGGAAAAGTTGCACAATTTCACACAAATGTTTTTAGGTCGGCAATTCGGTGCTAAGTCAAGGAATGCGTGCAAATCCAAATAAAAGTTGCGCGTATGTGAGCTGGTGCGAAGACAAGTTTACTAAAATACATAGATCCAGCTGATAGAAGTTTTTGGGAGTATTTTCAAAGGTTTCATCAGCTATTCAGAAAAAAAATGTTTTTTTTCTTCAAAATTTCCACCTTTCATGGTCACAGCAATAATTATTTGCTTCTGATTGTCTGATCCAGGGTCATGCTAAGATTTTTCTGGAAGTATTCCGGGTTGCTCGATGGTGTTGGGTGGCTTATAGTTTTCTGGCTGCTTTGTCTGTAATTGGGACGAAAACTTGATTGGAAAAACGCACTGGCTATTACGACAATTGGTGTAAGTCCCTCGATGAGCCGTTTTAGATACTTTGATGACTTCTTGAGCGGCTGATTTTCCCGCAAAAATTTCAAGATTTTGCTTTTTATGCGTCCAAAAAAATTTGGTCTTGTTTTCTGTAACAGCAGACGCTCAAAAATAACGTTTTTGAAAATTACGTTTTTGTTTGGTTTTTTGAGCGAATCGAATTTCAGTAAAACTAATTTACCCGGAAAATTAACTTCCTGGTCTGACACTACAGGAAAGGACTTGTTCTTAGATGAAAATTTGCAATCGAAAAAAGATGCAATCATAATTGATTTATGGTGTTTGCATTTGCTTGTGACTTTAGTACAGGGTACAATGACTGTCAGTTTTTTACCTTTGTCAGAAGATCTGGTACAATTTAGTCAGAATATACAAAAAAGACGAGCAGTGTTAAGCAGAAATCTGCTTATCAGCAAGCTCATCGAGTAGCAAGCAAGCGTACCGACTGGCATGCGGCAGTTATTTAGATATCAAAAAAGATTTAGATTATAAAGGGAAATCAAAAAAGATGATGTCAATTGTTTTGAAAGATATCAATGGCGAATGCTGCTGGGTTCAAATAAAAAACTTTACGCCTGAGCTCAAACTAATTTTCTTTGGAGTCAAACTCAGTTAACTCAAACATTTGGTTAATTGGAGTTGAATTTGTTTTAGAAAGTTCATGTCACTGCCGCTTAATCAATTAGTCGGCGAAGCAAAAGCTACCAAAATTTCATGTATTTTTAGTTTTCCATAGTTTCGAAAATCTGCGTACCACGTTAAAAACAACCCAGTAGCAAACACTGACTCATCAAGAGCACAATCGTTTTTGCTGAACCTCATTGCACTTGAGTGAAGCGCATTACGATGCCAAATTTTCCTGGATACCTGATACAACACTTTAAGCAAGAGAAGAAGAACAAGGGGAGCGCTCTTGTTGCGGAGTCCCCTTACATTCATAGAATGTATAGTTTGGTCTCCAAATGCGCAGTATGTGTTCAATGCTTGCAATTGCCGTGTCCATATTCTGAAACGTCTGCTTAAATTGCAAGTTGGTCAAAAATTCTGGGCCCCAATTCTCATAAATTTTTGGAGCGAAATGTCTGAATTCAAACTTTCTCAATAATTGCGGCTCCATTAAGATCGGAATTTTTTATTTGAAAGTTTGTTTGGTGTGAATGGCATTCATTAACCATAGTATTTTGTTTTCATATTGTGTTTATATGGCCGGAAACGTATACTCGAAGATTATTATCAGCCTCCTCACCAGTGAAAATTTAAGAATGTCTCGGCGGGGGATGGGGTTTTTAACAAAAATAAGCCCCAAAAAATCATTCTGTAACTTTAAGACAATTAACAGACTTGCTTTTAGCTTGTGGATGTTATTAACTCTTAGATCTAACAAAGAATGACCGAAAGTAACAGTTGTTATTTAAAAAATTACTTTCAATCGATTCTAAATAAATTGAAATCCATTTTTGTCATTTTAATTTGGTTTCTTTTTCAACGATATTTTGGTTCCAACAATCTGAAGTAAAATTGAATTCAGTAGGCTTTCGTGGACACTTTAAGGCAATTAAATAAATATTTTTTTCGACTGTAATAATCCATTTATTCCTTTTTAAATCAAATTATGTATCTAAGTGGGCTATCTTAAATCGATGTCTTATAACTTTATCTGTATTAAAATTGAATTAAACCAATTTCAGTCTCAAATTTGTCAGTGCTGAATCACAATGTGCACAATAATTATGCCCATTTATCA